TCTCTCTCTGCGCAATACATTAAACCATCAGCTGATTAAATAGGCTGGCTTCACATAAATATGGAGGCACAAAAACACAAACTAAGGTTAACACTAATCAAGCTTAGGGGGCTGCATGAATGCATCTGCTAGGTTACTGAGGGTCCTAATTAAACTAATCATCTGATCACAACCAGCATCTTTCCCCTCACTGGAAAAGGGCAAGCATGTCGCCACACACAGCCGCAACCCTTTTGCCCTCCTGAACTCCTTGACCGCTATCGGCAGATACCCCGGTGCTCACATGTGGTCCCTCAAATGCTGCCTCAGGGGGTCCAGGAGAGGATCAGTGTTATTGTTCTTCTCATCTGAGGACTGTAGGTCACATCTTTCTTGGCACTTTGGTAATACTGAGTTGTATTTTCAAAACTTCAAAATCTGGCAAAATCTCTGCCAGAAATGATCACTGCAGAGCACAGCTGTTTTCCAAGGGCTTCACCTTGAAGGAAGCCGTACAAGATTTGTGGTTAGCTGGGCACTGTGAGTCTTGCGTTGCAGCTGCTGAGGCCAAGCGGATGGTGGCTTACCTATGATTGCACACAGAGCTCATTTACGGCAGAGGCCAAGTTTGGACCAGAATGCCTGGGACTTGCAAGGCTCCAGTCCTCTGCAAAAGCCGGGGGAGGGGGCAGCTTTATGTTGGATAGGCCCCAATGTTCAAGTCTGTCAAAATCCTTCTGTATCTTGAGTCTGTCTTCCAAAATGTTCAGTATTGCAGATTGGTGTGATCTGCAAATTTGATTAATTCCTCTTCTATTCCCTCATCTAAACTATTTATGAAGATATTGAAGAGCACTGGTCCTCAAACTGAACTTTGAGATACCCCACTGCATGCAGATGTAGTTCCATTGGGGACTATCTGCTGAGTAAGGTTGGTCAGCCAACTGTGAATCCATCTGGTGGTGGCATTACCAGTCCCATATTATTATATATCCAAAATTAGTTTCCTTTAAAGCTCACCTTCCCCAGGACAAAGTTTTGGACATACAGTGATCACTAATTAATATAGATAGTCCTTGACGTATGAGCAGAATTGGGAATGAAACCTCCATTGCTAAGCAATGCAGTTCTTAAGTGAGTTGTGCCTGATTTTACAACCTTTTTGCCACAATTGTTAAGTGATTCATGTGGTTGTTAGGCAAATCTGGCTTCCCCCGTTGACTTTGCTTGTCAGAACCCAGAAGCACAAATGCTGATTATATCACCCCAGAATGCTGCAGTCAATGTAACTGCAATGTAACTGTTGCCAAGCACCTGAGTTTGATCATATGACTGCGGCGATGGTCATTAAATAAATGGTCATAAGTTAGCGATACAACTATTGAACGTACAATGCCTCATAAAGCACTGTAAATGGTCCCATAGTCCCATTTCCTTCCCAGTCCACTCCCTCCAGGCTGAGTCCCAACGCCTGGCCATATAAGGCCCGGCAGTTAGCCAAACTCTCGCAGCAGGAGCCCTGAGGCGTGGGGATGCCCCTTGGGAATCTGCAGGATGCTCTTGTAATGACTTCATGGCCCTTAATTTTAGAGCACCATCTAAAGACTCGCAGAGGCCCACAGAGAAGAGTGCGGGTAACCAGAGCTGGACCCCCGAGGGTCAGCCCTCCCTTGGGTGAGGGGCCAGGGCAGCTATTTGGCCACTGGGATTCGGCTGTTACTCTGGTGGCCTCTTCTCCCTTGTGTTTCTGAGCTATTTTCTTCCTCCATTCACTGCTGTCATTTATTACTGCAGACATTCCTAACACACCGGTGTGTGTGTGTGTGGCCCCTCCACAGAGAATCGGTTGCTGTACAGTTTCAGGCTTCTTGCCTTTGGGCAACGGAAGGGATAAGGGGGCTGTCAGGATGACAGAATGGCTACTCTGGAAGAGCTTTTCTGCTCTCAGAACTTGAAAGTGTTGCGTGTTTTCCCCCAGATTTGGGGGGGGGGGAATTATGCAGCAGCAGAAGAAATCTAAAATCCAGAAGTGCACAATAAAGTGCCCAAGAGACAGACTTAGGGCTGCTTGGATGATGAAAAGCGGCTTTTCTCTGAGTTTTGAGCAGCTCCAGCTTTGCAGCCACCCACATCTGCTCACCAAAAACTTCTGCCTCCCTGCCATCTTTTCTCCTTAGGAAGCCCCCGTGCGTGGCCCTGCCCTCTTCGTGAGAGGATCGTGGCCTGGTGGCTTCCGTCAAGGCCAAACATTGGCCCTGGGAATCCTCTGACTTTCCCAGAATGCTTGGATTTTATGGAGGCTCCCAAAGGGGCAGCCCCAGGACAGGACAGGACAGGACAAAGGAAGCCGCCTTCAGCTCCAGACTCAGCTCCAGGAATCCTCCACCTGCCATCATAATTGAGCCCACAATTATGGCTCTAAGTTGAGGCAGTTGTTAAGTGGGTCACCACATCATTTGCACCTTTTTTGCAGCAGTCGTTAAGTCAATGCCATAGTCATTAAGCTAACCAATCCAGTGCACCTGGAAATGGGGGAACACTGGGAACTCATCCTTTCGTAGTGGTCCCAAAAATGACTGAGGCTGTTAATTTTGGGATTAGCCTGGGTTGATAAGTGGCGCCCTATGGGAAAATGGAGTGAGGACCTTAATACTGGCCACGGGACCCTTGCCTCCTACCCCAGCCAGCAGCACGCAAAAGGCTGTGACAAGTGAGGACCAGGAGCGGTCCCTTGAGACTCTGAAATCCGCCCCAGACTCCCTGCCGGGGACACAGCTCATCCCAAGCGAATATCGAGACTTAGCTGAGGCATTCAGCAAGAAGGAATTTGACATCCCCCCCCCTCCCAACGACTGACTGCGCCATTGAGATTTTGCCAGGAGCCAAACTTCCCAAGCCCAAAATGTACTCTATGCCCCCCCCCCAGAGTTGAAAGAGCTAAGAGAGTATATTGATAAGAATTTAGCCAGGGGATTCCATTTCTGTGGAAAAAAACTCTGAAGGTGATCAAGCATCTCTGAAGTTGGACATCCAGAGCCAAAAAAGAACTTGCTGGCAAAGAAATCAAGGAAGTTTTGAAAATAAAACCAAAACATTGCAGCAGTCCTGAAAGGATGGCCCTAAAATCCTTATTTTCTGGACAAAACTTTTTGTGTGGCTCCCCCTGCTGGAAGCAGAGAAGCCTTGGAAGCCTTTGAGGCCTCAATTCCTTTCCAGGTGAAGGTTCCTGTTCTCACCCCCTGTGGAACATTGTAGAATAAGAATAATTGTAGAACAATGTCTGCAAGAGGCACTTAGAAGACGTAATGTGTCTTTTCAGCAGCACCCTCAGCCTTGCAAGAAAGAGACTTCTCTCCCACTTGAGGTTACAGGTTCATTTAAGTTCTTTGACAGATCATAATACCTAGCATGTACTTCAGGTTTATAAAGCACTTCTGCTTGATTTAGGCAATCCTCACAATAGACCGGCTGGTAGGTCAACCTGTCGCAGATTTCAGCCTGAGATTAAGAAAAGGGAAGAACTTACAGGAAACTTTCAAAACAGAGTCCTTTCCAGATTGTGCTTGCTTTGCAAAGTCCATTCCTCCCAGACAGCCTGCCCTTAAAAGGCCAAATTGTTTGCCGAGCAGGATTTACTTGTAAGCAAATGGTACACAACGGTGATGAATTGTGTAGTTCTTTATTTATTATACATGCTCTGACTCAATAGAGTAACCTAGATATTTCCAAACACTTAGGCAATAATCAACCAGATAATGCAACTCCGTGGCTCCATCTGAAGCCAAGGGAGAAATAAAACCATGGTGGAAAACAGGAATGTCTACAAAGGGAGGGACAAAAAAGTCAAGCTGTAGCTAAGCTCTTACACACATAAAAGAGAGACCTCTTTGTTGGTGCGATCTGACTCATGATTATTTTATGATTACATCACATGACATAATCAGGAAATAACTGTGATGTAATCATGATACAATTGCATTGTGATATAAGCAGGATTAATACATTACAGTACAAAAAAGACACTCAAATCCTAGAAAGAGTGCAGAGAAAAGCAACAAAAATTAGTAGGGGTCTGGAGGCTAAAACATATGAAGAACAGTTGCAGGAACTGGAAAAGTCTAGTTTAATGAATCAGAAAAGGGCAAAGGGGGCTGTTTTCCACATCACAAAAGGAGGCAGAGGGCTACAAGTGGAATAAAAAAAGCTGAGATGCAACTAGGCAATTAAAGCCCTGACCTTTTATTACAGGTATTGGTTGTCTGCTTGGGGCAGCCACATCTTTTAAATACACCCCCCCCCTTCCGGCTAGGAAATGACTGGTTACAGTCATTAATGCAACCGAGCCTATTGACAGTGAGCAAGACGGAGAATCAGAAGTAACCTAACAGACATAGTAGTGGAAGAGATCCATCTGTAAAAAAAAAAAACTTGATGGAACATAATCAGTTAGGCAATCCACAGCCATTGAGCAGGGCAGGCCTGCTTCCCACAGATCTCTTGAGTCAGTTTCCTGTCCTTACATCTGTACAAAAGGTGGCAAAATGGTTTTTTGTTTGTTTATTAAATTTATACATCACCCATTGTGAAGTGATTCTGGGCCGTCTGTTCAGGGACGTGTTGATTTCCAACATCCCATCCAAAGGTTCATCCTGCCCAAAGGAGCAAAGCTTCGTTCACTGGGTAGTAATTAGAGAGGAAGTGGAAGAACTGAGCGCATTTCCCAAAAAACATCTGGTCAACATCCACTAATCGGAATAACAGAATGACAAGAGTTGGCGGGGACTCGGAGGTCTTCTAGTCCAACCCCCTCCTCGAGCAAGAGACTCTACAGTTCGCCATCCCCCACGAATACCCGGCCGAGAGCAAACTGGGCTCAGCTGGAGCCCGGAGCCCGGAGCCGCGCAGCTCCGCCACGCCCCTTGGCATCCCCGGGCTCCTGTGGCGGGGCGGGCAGGCGGGGCGGGGCCGGGCCGCCACTCCGCCCCCTTCGCAGGCGGGGCGGGGCGAGGCGGCCCCACCCGCCCGCCCGCGCGCTCTGTAGAGCCGGCTCCTCCCGCGGGGGCTGCGCTGCCCGTCCGGCATGGCCGAGGCCCAGCAGCTGCGCGTGCAGGAGGCCATCGACGGCATGGTGCAGGGCCTGGAGCGGGAGCACATCCGCAAGATGCAGGTCGGCGGACGGGCGGGGGGTGGGCTCCGGCTCCTCCGGGGAGAGCCACGCGGCCGCCCGTCGGGCGCTGGAGCCGGGGAGGGGGAGGCCGGGCCGCGGCCCCGCGGAGCTTCCCTCCCTCACTCTCCTGGCGCCGGGCGGGTCGGGCTCCGCCAGCGGGCTGCTCGGGCGGCAGCGAGCGGGCGCGCGATGGCGCGAGGCCTGACCCGGAGCGCCGCTCTCCTCCTCCTCGCAGGGCCTCATGTTCCGCTGCAGCGCGACCTGCTGCGAAGACCAGCGGGCCTCCATGCAGCAGGTGCACCGGTGCATCGAGCGCTGCCACGCGCCGCTGGCCCAGGCGCACGCGCTGGTGACCGGGGAGCTGGAGCGGTTCCAGGTGAGAGACCGTTGCGCCGCCGCAGGTGACCGGATTCTGATGCCCTTGAAGGCTGCGTCTCCTCTCGCAGCTCGGAAGAGGCTCGCTGGTCTCCCGAGGATTGACTCGGTTTTCCCGCAGAGGAGAATCGCCCCCTCCGGCCCTTCGTCTCCTCCGGCCACTTGGGCTGAAAATCAGGCCTCCGTTTCTCCCTGTTGGCCATAGGAAAGATGAAAACTAAGCCTTGCTTGGCGTGTCCACACCGTATAGTCAATAAATTGTGCTCCCGGTAGGGGGTTAAAACTCTGGTTTGTGTGTGTGTGTGTGTGTGTGTGTGTCACACATAAAAACAGGCAGAGATTTGACTGGGCTGTCATAGCTGCCCTCTTGATTTGCTTTGCCATACTGTGAGGAATAAAAATTCAACTCCAAGGGTGCTGGAAACAAAACAAGTTTTATTGAAGCATTTGCAAAGGCTCATGGACCCTTCTACCTGCAAGGAAAGGGCCACACTTGAATCATTTCAAAATACGCCCGAGCCTTCTGTTCCAGACCCAGTTGATAGGTCCATTCTGCTCACATGCTTTCCGACTGCCTAGCAACCAGACCTCCAATTATTAGATCAAAACCCCTTTTGTTTCTGTCTTATCTCTCCTTCCTTATCTGTGGCATGATTTGTAACATTTTGCTAACTCAGGGTGTAGCTTATCTACAAGGTGAGCCTGTCTACCTAAACTGGATAATTGCAATTGCAAAGGATTTATATCTTCCCTTGTTTATAAGAATGCCTGCTTTTCATCTAGAAGCTATGTATGTAACAGAGTTCATGCTTCCGTTAAATATGGCTACACTTTGGTTCATAGTTATATTTTAAAATGCTAACTCTAGGCAGTTTTTATAAAGAATAAACTTTATATAAATTGAATAATATGTCATTCATAAACTATATGCCATTCTACAATAATGTGCACTATTCTAAAAGTATGCTTTGAGTCAGTGTATATAGTCCTTCTCTGTTCCTCCAGCTTACTACATCTTCTTTCCTAAAAGTACCTTAGCTAAGTGCCTCTACATGTCTATTCCTTAAGCAGAAATGGAAAATTACAACATGTACATTTATTGTGTATCTCACAATACTCTTGGCATCCCTGCCTAAGAAGCGCCCCTGCTAAGTTAAGGGGTGGTGGCGGAACCGTTTGCACTACTGCCCCTCTCAGGATGGCTCCTGGGCTTGCAGCCCAAAGGTTCCCCAACCCTGAATTCCAAGGAAGCCCATCCTTTTACGAATCCGGGATCAGCTGATCTTCCTGTTCTTGAGGAGACGCCCTATAACTTCTCTGCTTTGCACGGAGCCTTCTGGCTGTGCTCACCTGTACCCACCTCTGGTTTTTCCCCACAGAACCGCCTCTCTCGCTGCACAATGCACTGCAATGACAAAGCAAAGGATGCCTTGGACTCTGGGAGCAAAGAATCGCAAGTAAAGCTGCAGCTGGAGAACTGCGTGATGAAGTGCGTGGATGACCACGTTCATCTCATTCCCAGCATGACAAAGAAGATGAAGGAGACCTTGACCGGCATCGCTCAGTAGCCCTGCCCTTGCGCACAAACCCAGGTCCACCTAGGAAGGGTGCGGTAAACTTGATGAAACTAGGAAACAAAAGTGGGAATAAGTTGGGTGCTTTCTTAGGGTAGGGTGGCCTAAGAAGTACCCTGTCTTGTGGAAGAAAGGCTGCCAGTTGTCAGAATGTGAAACGGGTGGTTGGGTTTTCCCTCGCTTATGGATACGTTCACAGGCCCAGGGAATTTCCCTGCCTTGTTGTGGCCAGCTCTCCCTACCCTTGGGGTGATAATGGGGAGAGATGAAAGGGTGCTTCATTAGTCACCCTGAGGTTTGTTCGCCTGTTGTCTTAGCAGGGCAGATTAACTTAGGCCAGTTAAAATTAATACCTCTGGTGCTCTATAAAGACACAGAATGGCTGTTTCTACAATCCTGCTCAAAGAGATGGTTTGTTCTGGGCTTTGTGATGTAACTGAGTGATAAGACACTAAACCTTTTGAATTCTCCAAAGCTGCTGAGAGCTTCTATTTGTGCTTTCATCCAAATCAGGCAGGTTTTTTTTGTTCAGACAGCAGATATGGATGTGTGTGCCTTAATACGTCCTGAGTAGGGGAAAATGCACTCGTGGGTGTATCCACATCTGGGCCAGATCTAAGCAGAAGTCTTGCCACTGGTACTGATATGACGAAGGATTCAAACAGGAAAGGAGCCATCGGAACCTGGAAAGCTGTGCTGCTTCAGTCTGCTGAGTGAGTCAGAAACGAACATTTTAAGGAGTTTTAAAAATGCAACATCAAAATGTAAACTTTCTATCAAAATATGTGAGGTCTTTTTAGTCACTCCCCAAACAAATGTTTATTAAATTCTTAAAATCTTGTATAGTTTTGCATTATTTGCATTTGGTCTGTGTTTTGAGTTCATTTCGATATGGAGAATTTCTGTATTTGGCCGAGTAACCTTGTTGGCTACTCCCAGGGCATTGTTCTGTTAGGGTTTTTTACTTGGGACAGTGAGCTGGAAAGAATGGTTCCTTCTCTTCATTGTTGGCTTCGAGGGCAGAATAAATAGGAGCAGTGCATATCTGAGGCCGGGGAACGCTTCTGTGCATCCCGCAGGGTCCGATCCAGGCTCCAGAAGCCTTTTCCAGGCTGCTGGTGCCTGGAAACTGGCTGCCAAAGGGCTACATAAGTGTCCCCCGGGCTCAGATCCAGGCAGCAGCGGCCTGGAAAAGGCCTCTGGAGCCCCGATCCAGCCTCCGGAGGCACACAGAAGCATCCCCCGGCTTCGGTTCCATTCTCTGTTACAGAGAACAGAGGCCTAAAGTACTATGAGATCACGCAAGATCGGTCGTGTGAGATCTCGCCCCACTGATCTCGCGTGATCTTGTGTTACTTTAGGCCTCCATTCTCTGAGAACGCACCAAAGGCCTGGAGCAGCCAAGAAAGCGAAGGATCTCGATCTTCATAGGGTGAGTATTGAAGGCCTGGTGCTGAGGAGACCCGGGCGGGGGTGGGCAGGGAATAAGCAGGGAGAATTGCAGAGCCACTGCGGTTGCTCAGAAGGGTGAACAACTGCTGTGCTGCTGCAATTTTCGTGACTTTGGGACTTGCTCGTAAGCACTAGGGGGCTCCCGAAACTGAATTTCTGGTGACTTCCAAGTCATAACTTGCAGCTATTTCCTTGGCAATAGGACAGAAGTGGCTTGCTATGGCTACCAGAATAGTTTTCAACTAGGGATCTGTAATAATCTCCATTCAGGTACTAGCCTGGTCTGATCTTTCTGAGGATCAGCCAGGGTTGCGATAATGACCCTCTGGAGCGCTTTCCTATCTGCTACTGTGCAGTTGGCAAACCGCACACAAATGCAGTAGGTTAGAATGCCCTCTGTGGAGCAATGGTAGAAGGTCACCTGCGATTTTTCATTCAGTTGTTTCCTGAGAAGTCTCAAGAAATTTAATCTCTGCTGGGCCTTCTTAGCCACTGCTATAACATGAGCACTCCAGGTCAGGTCCTCCTTTATGGTAATACCCAGAAACCTAAAGCTGCCCCCCCCCCCCACTGCTCCACACGGTCACCACTGACGATCGGGCTGAATGTCTGATCTATTCTTCCTGTAATTTCCTATAAGCTCCTTGGTCTTAGTTGTGTTGAGAACCAAATTATTGTCTCTGCCCCACAAGACCAACCGCCCCACCTCATCCCTCTAGATAGGCTCTTCTCATCCCCCTTGGAGGATGACTCCACTGTTGTATCATCCGCAAATTTAACAATAATATTGCTGGGATGAGTGGGGGGTGCAGTCATACGCGTATAGCATAATTTGATTGTTGAAGTCCACAAGTCATAAAAAAGGCAAGGTTGCCCACCCCTGGTTTAGGCTGAGTGAAGCCAGCCCACGGTTGTTCTTTCCTGATGGGAGAGCAGCCCTGTTTTGCTTTCCCATTCAGTGCATCCTGAATTCTGGGCTGGAGGTCAAGTGACGGCATTTATTTCTCAGGAATGAGCAGATTCTCCAACGTGTAAGTGGTGGTTATTTCTGGCCCTTCCAAGAGGAGGAAAATGCAGCCTTCGAGGAAGAGACTGCTTTGTGGAAGTCCCGGGGTGAGCTGCCTCTGCCCGCCTTTCCCCAAAAGGGAGTCCAGCTGACTTCCGGAAGGAACCCGGCGTGCCTCGTTCCGGGGCCTGGTGGGGATGGAGAGAGTCCGAAAGGCTCGGGCCGTTGGTTCCCGCCACGCGCGTTGCGACCGATCCCGCTAGCTGACCCGGGAGCAGCGGCCCTTTCGCTCACGGGGAGCCCAGCGTGGCATCCGCGAATAAGCGCCCCAGACCGGCAGCCGCCTCGTGGCCGAGCGCGACTCAACAAGAGGGCGTTCCCAGGGCGTCGGGGATTGGTCGCTAGGATTGGGGTGGCCCCGCCCTCCGGGAACATTTGGGCGCGCTCGAGGTTCGTTGGCTTGGCCGTCCTTTGCGCCTGCGCCTGAGGCGCCTGGTGATTGGGTAGAGAAGTGAGCGCCGTGGGGACGTCAGACCGCAGTAGAGACGAGCGACAGACGCTTCGCGAGGCGGTCGGTTTGGAAAAGGAAGGATGAGTAAAGCACACCCGCCGGAGCTGAAGAAGTGAGTGCGCGCCGGGAAGTAGCGTCGGGGCGCTCTGCTCGGAGGTACCGCGGGGCGGGGGCGCGGCGTCCAGAGAAGCGAGCGGGAGGCCCCAGCGGGCGGCGGGAGCCCGTCCTAAGGCCACCCTTCGGCCCATCATGCACTGCGCGGCATGTGGCCATAGAGCTGCTTTCTAGAGTTGCCTTTCTCGGCCCACGTGGCCGTTCCTTCCGGGCCGCCAGCAGCCAAGCCCCCCGCTTCAGTCCCCCGAGCGCTCCGGGACGGGCAGAAAGTCTTGGCGAGGCCCTCCGTCCTGCAGCGGCCCATCTCTGGCTCTATTTGCTATTATTCTGCCTTAGTTGTGTGTCCCTCTTCCCATTTTTAATACTTGTCTTTGAACCATCCCTCTCTCGTATAGGACCTTGGGCAGCTTGATTGATTATGTCCCATCAAGTAATTTTTGAATCCTCGGGACCCCAGATGTTGAGAGTCTGGAAAAAAATCTTTATTATAGACTTGACTTGCATGAGGCTTATTTCCCGTTTTGAATTTTCAGGTTTATGGACAAGAAGCTATCATGTAAGTGAACTGATTGTTTTGAAGATTCTGTTTTGCAAGGAAAAACTATACAATTTATTTCTTGTCTGGTTACCTTGTGAAAGTAACGTTCCTAAGATGTGATGATTTCCCTTTATTTTCTTCATCCATTGCATCTGTTTCAGTACTTTTTCAATTATTGGTGTTTTATGCTCTAAATATTTCATTAATTTTGAACTGATTTTCATAGTTCATTAATTATTTAGTCTCCCTATATCTATTTCCCTGTATCCATGTCAATTCTGGTCACCACAGTACAAAAGTGCAGAGAAGAGCAACAAAGATGATAAAGGGTCTGGAAGCTAAATCATATGATGACAGTTGAGGGATCCTATCAAAGAGGAGAATATAACTGTCTTCCAGTATTTGAGGGGCTCTCACAGAGAAGACGGGATCGACTTTTTCTCCAAAGCCCCAGAAAGGACAAGAAGCAGTGGGTGGAAGCTTGCTAAAGAGAGATCCAATCTAGCAGGAAAGAGAATTTTTCTGACAGGGAGAACAATTAATCATAGGAAAATATATTGAGGACCACTTAACTTGCTATCTGTTCTTTGCAGTAAAACTAAATGGAGGTCGGCATGTTCAAGGGATATTAAGAGGTTTTGATCCATTCATGAATTTGGTGATAGATGAGTGTGTGGAAATGGCACCTGGTGGACAACAGAACAACATAGGGATGGTGGTAAGCAAAAATGAATTAAGTTAAAATTAAATTAAGATAAATTAAGAATTGTTGAAGCCATTTTACCAGGAAAGGGAACGTTAAGCTGTTGCATTCATGGTACAGCGTAGTTTATCTTTCATGTTCAAGAACCATATAAATAAAGTTGCAGTATAAATCAACTTGTATTGATTCTAGTAGTAAAGGAAGCAGTTATTTTCATTTGTGATTTAGGTCAAGGGTTTCAAATTCTCCTTCAGGCACTTTTGATACTAAGAACCCTGTAGTACCTTTGTCAGTAGTCTTAGATTGGGGACACCAGAAGTATTCATCAAATACTATTCTAGTGAAGTAAAAATATTCCTATGAAAAACTAAGTAATTTGCCATGGATCTTTCTGGATTAGTTGTAGAACAATCCTCCATATTAGCTGTCTTTAGCCATCTTGAAACTAGTTTATTTTTTTTCTTCTTCAAATTCATTCTTAGGTATGCTAGTGATATTTGTTCTGATTTCTAGGTAATACGAGGAAACAGCATCATTATGCTAGAAGCCCTGGAACGAGTATAAAAAATGAAGTACTGGCTCTTGCTACAGTGTGGGCAATTTTTATTATTGTTGGTTCTACAGGATCATTCCGTGTTTACATTTTTTAAAAAATAAATTCTTAAAAGTATAAATTTTTTATTTTCTCCTTTCTCAAGTTATATTTTTTAATAGGTTTGGTCTAGTGGTGAAGGCACCAGGCCAGAAACCAGGGGACTGAGTTCCAGTCCTGTCTTAGGCACGAAAGCGGCTGGGGGGACTTTGGGCCAGTCCCTCTGCCCACAGCAAGGGGCTCAGGCAACAAGCCAGTCGATTCCCATCACAATCAAATGGCTCAACACTTGGTGAATCTGCTACTTATCTCTGGAATTTGTCAAAAGCAATCCTGACTGTCAAATTTCCTTCCCCTTAAAAAAAGAGAAGGGGCTTATTCGGAACGGATGCCTCATAGTTTCAATGTGCTGTAAATGCAGCCGGAGCAGCTGAATTCTCCTCTTGCAAGTCCTCATTTGCATAACTATACTACTAAAAGCTTATAAAATATGGATTTTATAACTTCAGTTATTTGAACAGCCCAATTCAGAGATCAAATTGGGCATATCCATTCTCTCTCATTCCCCAAACTAACGACTTCCAGAATGGTAAAAATGTCTTCTAATCAAAACTAGTGAGTTGTTGGAGTCGCTGTCTGCCAGGCTAAGTACCTGAAGTCTCTTGGCAACTTTATCCAGTGGCTTTAGGAAACTGCTACGTAAACTATCTCAGTTGTCAGCCAAAAGACTTTTTATTCAAGGTTTTTCTTGCGCCCCAAAGAATTACTTATAGCAAGTAATGAGATTTGCCAAAGAAATCCAGAAGATACAGTAGTTTTTAAAAGGCTATTGCCAAGAATTCCCTTTAAGCCTATTTTCTTGGAGTAGCAAAGTAGGTTCAACAGTGATGGTTGCAAACTGTTTCAAGCTTGAAACATATTTTCAAAAGCTTTATCTCACGCCCTTGTAGGAATGTTCTGAGCTTAAAATGGCTCTAGTTACTGCCAAGGGAAGACATCTGAAGCTTAACATTTTGGGCTTCAAATGGAGCATTTCAAAGTCCAGACATTTTGCGCACTCATACCCAATACCCAAGGTACGTTGCAAGTTCCCCACACCCTTTGAGGCCTCCCCCCAATCCTTGGGATGCCAAATCAAAGCTCCGTCTTGAGTCGCTCGTGCAAGTTCTCTTGATCAATCATATTCATCTTACTGTACCAATGATGGTGAGCCAAGAGGGCCACATTTTTTGCAGAGATGGCACTCATTTCCATGGCGCTGGCTGCCCATTCTATGGCGTTGACGTAATACATGTGGTCGTGGAGAATGAAAGGTGGGCACTTCTCGGGGGGGCTGTAGTGTGGGTAGGCCAACCATATCCGTACTTCCACCAAATCATAGGATGAGAAGAGCAGTTTCAGTTGCTCGTTGGTCAGCAGCTGACGGGAGAACAGTTTCCAGACAGGAGGGCTCAGGTTGCCTTGAACCGGAGAAACCATACCAAGGCTGTTGATGAATAGATGAGGGTCTTCCATCGTGAAAATGGTCTTCAGGTGGAATGGAGAAGGATCCTGGTAGCCAAAAAAAGAAGCATTGATGTGCCCACGGACAAATGTTGCCACCGTCTGGTGGTAGGAAGCAGGGAACTCGGGGATCTGTGGGCTGAAGTTGTGGAAAGTTATGTTGGCAATTTTGCGTTGCAAGGGAGTAGCGATGAGTAGGATGTCGTAGGCATCTGATGTTACTCCAGATGTAGAGTTGTAGGTAACCTCATACTGCTTTGTCAGACCACCTTTGAAACAACCAAGAGAAATTAAAGCAGCAGTTTTGACGTTACTATAATTTTTACTGCCTGAGATAGAGATGTTTGGGGTATCTTCCAAATGTGCAAGGGTGCTGGCAAGTTAACTTTTTTCAGAGAACAGCAGAATGCCAGGGCTGCACAATTCCCAAGCTACTCTTTTTCCCTTTCCTGCCATACTCAGGCACACCTTGTGATAACTTTCTCCATGTTGTGACCACCATCAGTATAATTGGTCCCAGGGCTCAATTCACTCTGAAGCAGTGACCTAATCAGGCAGCTCGCCCGTCAAGTTTCATCATCTCCAAAATGGCAGATGTGGACACCAAAGGGGAGGTTTGCTGTTCAGCTACCTGGTCTCTGATGAAAATCCTTCCCAACAATCCAGGGTGGTTTGAAAGGAAGGAATGGAATTCCCATGTTGTGTTTGGGGGACGGCAACACACACCCCAGGCTGCTCTGTCTCAATCATCACAGAGCTTTTTCAACACCTCCCGATCTGGAGCTGCTGCTTCTCAGTTTTGGTTCTAGGAAGTTTTCCACGACCACCCTGCTCATGGGGTCTCTGCTGAGGTCCCACCCAACTTAGCTAGATTTAAAATGGCCTAATTTAAAAAAATGGGCTTGCCTGCAGCAAAGCCCCAACTTCCAGTGCCATCTCTTTTCCTAATAATGACACTGGACTCCCAATAGCCATAGGGGAATTGTATCTTGATGCCTACCTGCAAAGCAGAAAGGCATGTAAGGCTATTTGAGAACATGGAAGAAGGGAGAGAACAGGAGTGTGAAACAGATCGGCAGCTATAAGGAATTGGGGAAGTGGCGGACCCAAACTTGTGGAGGATGACAGATTGCCCACTTCTTTTTCAATCTTACACAGCTTTCATGTTTGATAAACTTATCTCATATTTTGCAAATGTGAAATAAATAAATATTAGGAAACCACACCTGAACGACCCTTCAGCCTTGTTTTTTCTTCTATGGAGATAACAGGACCAGAAATCAGCTGGGCTTTGGAAGCATATAGAAGGCCTGTACACACCAATTTATTACCACCCTCTACCGACCAAAGTCCTCCACTTGCTCCAGCCAAAGATACAGCTCCTACAAAGAAACATAGTCCAAGAAAAAAATGGTCAGACACACCTAAACAAGACAGTAGCTGAGGCTAAAGTGATTCAGTGACAGAGTCAGAAATAAAACTAAGCCAAAACTTTGAAAACTGTTTACAAAATATGTGAAGCCAGCCACTGGACACTTGTGTTTATGACTTACTCTTATGAACAAATCAAATGGCTATGGCTTACTGAGTAATGTGCAAAACCAACTATCCTATAATGTAACAAGGGAAGTAACTGTTATGCTCCACTTTCAACCGGCTGTCATTTGCTACCTTTCAAAGAAGTATGCAAAGTCCTGTCTGTTTGGGGGAGAATTTACTTCCACCATTCATTTTTTGACACAGGGACTTCCAGAAATGAAAGTTCCCCAAATGTATGCCTGAAGGTCTTGGTACATTTTTCTTCCTTCTGTTCAATCGTGCCTGATTCTCAGAGTGTCTGGACAGGTCCCGGCAGTTTTCTTGGCCAGGTTTTTCAGAAGTGGTTTGCCACTGCCTTCTCCCCAGGGCTGAGAGAGAGAGTGACTTCAACAGAGGAACTGTTGGCTGGGATATTTGAGGTGTTGTAGTCTCAATCCTATTAGCAAAAATGGACCAATAACAACACAAATGTCACCCCAGAGGTGACACAAATTACAAAATCTATGTAATTTACAAGAAGTCCCAGGTCACGTTACAGTGGTAAAAATCTCCAGCCCAAAATATTCCAGAAAACTTAGCTTCGGGGTGGCTAGTGCACTTTGTATTAGCAAGAAAAGAAAAAGACAATACATTAAGTGCTGGCAAAATATAACAGTAAGAGCTTGCAGAGTTTCAAGACTAAAATGGAAGGCTGAGTCCACCTTGAGCTAAACCAAGTTAAATCTGTATATCCAAGTCCTCAAGATAGAACAAAACTAAAAAAATACCCTCTCTTCTCTGCAGCTTTCTCTATCCTCAAGTCATTTATAGGTGGATTCCTTGAAGCAAGTTGTGCACAAGCACAAGTGGCCGTCCAGGGTTGCAACACTAAATTTGCCACTTCAGAATAAACAAGCACCACTTACCTACGAAGCTGTTAATGCTGGCACTTTGCCCATAGTTGACTCGCATGATAGGGGTTACCATCTCGTTGATGAATGCCTGAGAAAATCTGGCCTTTTGCAGGGACTCATCGATGGTCTGGTTCAGCATGCGAAGAAAACTGGCCCCTCCAAGGGCCTGGAGCAGATGCTCAGGGCTGCTGAAGGCATAGTCGCGGGACTGGTACCGATAGACCCTGGACCAAAAAAGGAAGGGGGGAAGTAAACAGGCTAAAGATATTACATTGGTGCAAAATAGATCAGTGGGGCAACATATGCTTTTAATAACGAATATCTGAACTAAATTGAGTTGATTACCTCTCTTATTAAGGCCCTTCTCCCCGATTGCTGTTTCACCAGGTGACCAGCTCTTAAAAGAGTCCTGGTTGTGCCAAACGTCTTTCATTTGAGAATTATGGAGGCCACTGTGCTCTACAGTATGCATTGTCAGCTGTGAGGCCTTCTATAGGTGTGTGCCTTTCCAAATCATGTCCAATCAATTTAATTTACTACAAGTGGACTCCAAGGTGTAGGAACGTGTCAGCAATGATCAAGAGAGAAAAAATAAATTTCAACAACAGTAGAATCAGGTTGCGGCATAATGAAATTGTCAAAAGGGGGCCTGAATACTTTCTGAGTGCACTATAGCTTGTTAACCCTGCTAAGTGAGCACAATAGTTTTCTCTCCCTCGCTTCGGAAGGTAAGAAAATTCCTAGATGGAATCTTTTCTTATTACATGTTTTAATGCAGTATTTTTCAACCACAGCAATCTTTAAGATGCCTAGGTTTCAACTCTCAACATGCTGGCTGGGGAATTCTGGATGTCGAAATCTTAAAGTTACTGAGGTTGAGAAATACTGTTTTAGGAAGTGGCAACTGGCATTTATCTAATTGCTGGCTGCCATCCAAACTGGTTTTCCTTGTAGGTCATCTCCTGTTTCATCTGCTCTTGGTCTTTCACTTAACTGCAAAGCTCATTTTGTATCTACCTCTTTTACTGAACATTCAGGGTGTTATTCTGTGCTCATCTGTTTGCTACTAGAATCTGCTACGAGCAACGGACACGCTGTGTTTGAGATTTCAAAAGGTAAAGAAGCCCCTGAGTTGAGTTCAGCTCTTGGGGATTCATGGCCCCGAAATTAGGAAGGGGGTGGCCAACTTCCTCTTTGGGATGTTCTTGGACTCTCCACTCTAGCCTGTAGTCTTGGCCACCCATCCAAGTACGAACCAGCCTTGTTTGTACTTACTCTTCCAATCTAGAAATGTTTATGAAGCTTTGACTGATTGATTTAAACCAAGCCATCCAGTGGTCCTCTTCACAATTATAATATGATAAAGCAACACAGTAGAGCCAAGCAATTTCCTGATCTTTTTCTTTCCCTGGCAGACTGAGGCCTTGCTTCCCAAAAATAAAAGGGCTCAGGGGAAAAGCAAAATGCATTTCATTTGAATACAAGGAGCATTAAATCAATTAAACCTGGTAATATGATCACCCTCACCCATTATGCCCACTGAGAAGAAAAACCTTGGTGCAGAGTGCTGCTCCTTACCTCATAAACTTTTCCAGGACTTCCTCCACCCACATGTAGCTTCGCAGGGGGTTCAGTCCATAACGCCAGAAGAGCTTCAGAAGAGTCCAGACATACCAGCTGCTCTCCTCAAAGACAAATTCCTCCCCACTGTAAATGCCTAGGAGTCCATCTTGACTCTGAAGAACAGAAAGCCCTGCGGATTTAAAGACAGAGCCGGCAACTTGAGGGGGAGAACCACCCAATGCCCCAAACTTCTGAGGTCCTCTCTGCAGTCACTGGCCCTCAAGAACGACACAAACTAGCCAAACTAGAACTGGGATGCCTCCTTGGGTATTACTGGGACAAATGCAAATTGTACGTCATTTCAAAAGAATTATGCTAAAGCATGGAATGACATTAAGGAGAACGTATTAAGATGGGAGAAATTACAATTCTCAAAAGTGGGGGGGGAATTTCTGTGATAAAAATGATTGTTTTGCCTAAAATGATGTTTTTGATTCAGATAATATCTGTTTTGACAATTAAGTACAATGTGAGCAATGGGAAAAAGATCTATCTAAATTTGCATGGAAAGGAAAAAACATGTTAACTGCAAAATGTTACAAGATGCAAAGGGGAGGGGAGGACCAGGTTTACTGAATCTGAAGTGTATTTTGCATCTTGTTTGGTTTGGATGAAAGAATGCAAGTTGCTGAGAAATCAAAGAGTTTTAGAAGGGCATCATTTCAGTTTGAGTGTCATGGATATTTCGGGTATGATAATTGAAGTTAATATGGATTTTAAAAATCACTTTATTAGTTGTTCCATATTAGGAATATGGAATCGGTGTAAATCCAGGCTGTGCCCAAAAACACCTTTATGGATCTCAGCACAAGCACTTTACAAAAAAGAAACAGGCAAAGACAAATGGTAAACATACCTGGAATTAGAGAATCACCAGAGGGGATATAAAATTAAATCAAGAGATCAATTAAGGACAGAAACTACCAGAAAGAGCCTAATCTGAGCCTGCATCACCCCACACAGCCCCCTTCCAAGCCCGAGTCTGAAGGGCAGCGAAAGAGCCCCCAACGGGCACCCCAAATGCACCCGTTCTTCCCACAAGAGGAATTCCTTCTCGGGCCTGGAGGAAAGAGAAAAGCGGGGGAGGCCTCACCCAGTTCTTTGACGAACTGCTTCATGTGCAGGTTGAGTGGGTGCAGGACGGCGCCGCCCGCCTCGTAGTCCCGGCCTTCCAGCCGGACGGTGGCCAGGCGGCCCCCCACCTCTCCCCTCTCGAAGACGTCGATCCGCACCTCGGGGCCGAACTTCTGGCGCAGGAAATACGCCGCCGAGGTGCCCCCAATGCCGGCTCCGATCACCCCTGCAAGAGGCAGCCGCGTGGCTTCTTTTGCCAAAGGGGAGCCGGAGCTCTGCCCGTCCCCGCGGCCCCCTACCCACCGCCTGCCGGACGCTTCGTGCCCTCCACCCGCCCCGCCGCCCCCGGCTCAGCAGCAGCACGAGCGCCTCCCGACCCCCCAGGCCTCGGAAGCCCGCGGGCGCAGCAGCCCCCCGGACGCCCCGCCTCAAGGCCCGGGAGGGGCGGCTGCGTAGCGTGACTCGGTAGCCCAAGTAGCTCCAGGCAGGCCCGTCCGCAGCCCCCCCCTCCGCCCTGCCAGGTAGGGCGGGCCGAGGGAGCCGCTCGGCCCGTCCCGTCAGGCGGCGCCCAGCAGCCCTCCTCCCGGCGCCAGGTCGCGGGGAAAGCGAGATCGCCCCCCGAGCGAGGCCTTCGGGGTCCGCCCCTGCGGGCCTGGCTACCGATGCGGGCAGGCGGGCGGCGCAGCTCTGGCGTCCCCGAGGCGTCCCCGCAGCAGAGCAGCAGCAGCAGCAGCAACATCGGCGACACGCGCGGAGCCATGGCCGAACGAAGGAGGGAGGGCCCCGGGCCCGGCCCCGTCTCTCTGGAAGGCAGAGGCCCCGCCCCAAATGGGCGCCCTCGGTCCGATGGCCACAGCGTTGCCACGGTGATGGATGCTTCTTCCCATCCTCGTAGTAGAATCTTTTAAACATTTCCTTGGGTTGGAAAGAATACCGTGAAATTGATTAGCCAAACACTGTTATTTAGAATATTCACTGTACAACCAAAGGCTGAATTTGTTCAGAATATTATTTTATTTACAATTTTTTGTATGCTAGCTACTCAAGTGACTCTATAACGTCTCCTGCTTGAGAAGGGGTTGGACTAGAAGACCTGCAGGGTCCTTTCCAACTTTTGTCATTCTGTTATTTTGGCATTCATTCCAAGACTGTTGAAGGAAAAGTCTTCATCAGGGCTCAATCCAAGCCAGGAATAAACAACATTGGCAACTGCTTTAGAAAGAAGGATGCAGTTTATTGAAGAGGAGAGCCAGACAGAAAGATGGCTCTGGAAGAAAAGAAAGAGAGTACCTGTAGGGAGTGGGGTTTTATACCCTCTGGGGCTCTTGAGGTTGCTTCCTGTTCCTGTTTGAGGCTTTGTATTTCCTGTGTCATGTACTTTGACCTGAGTGTGCCCCTTTGGCATCTGTGGGCTAATCCTATTATGTCCTGTCTTAGAGTTTGGGTGGGGTATGTAGATTTTAGGTGTCTTTGTCTTCCTAAGCTTCTAGCTGGAGGGCTCCAACCTTCCTGAACGGATTATTTACATCTGCATTTCTACAGAGCTGATTTCTGCTTGGGAAAGGGAGACTTGGGACTATTAAGAAAAATTGGACATGCTTTTCTGCCTCTTTTAAGATTCTTTGAGGAAATATAATATTCTGCCCTTTTAATATTTCCTTCTCTGGGGGCGGGGTGGGCTGACTTCCCACTACTCTGAACCAGAATCTGCTCTGTGCTAATCTCCAATATACCTCAGAAGGATTTTAAATATGAGTCTACCTTGCAAAGTTGTTGCAAGATTAAAATAGATTTGGGGGGGTTGAAGGTCACTAAGGCATTATGAGTAAGTGTAAGCCATGTTAAAGAGGCCTGTGTAGAAAAAAAGGCTGAGGAAGATAGTCTGATTAAAATTAATAGGTACTCCAAATTACACGTTCCTAAAAAGGCTTGCAATTGTATAGGTCAATTTGGTGCATGTATTTTCTGTTCAATTTAACACATTCAGTTCACTTTTTTTCCATCTTTCGATTATTGCTTTCATTTTTGAAAGGACCCATTTGGATAATACTGTTTCTGACGGCTTGTGTTATTTATAGGCAAGCTGATCTTTTGCCTTTGCTTTCTAGACGATTCTTCCGAATAAAACCTACAGCAGCGCCGCTGGTGTAGTGGTATCATGCAAGATTCCCATTCTTGCGACCCGGGTTCGATTCCCGGGCGGCGCAATCCTTTTTTTTCCCCCCTTCATTCAGCATCCCTTAAAAAAGCGCCCATCACCAAATTTGCCTACTTCCTCTACCTAAACGCTGACTTGATTCTAATTTTTCTTTTTTTAGAAGAAATGAAAGAAAGCCGGAACGCTCTATAAAACACCACTTCTGCGCAGGCGTTCTGGAGAGGTCTCGCGAGACTCGGCGCCGAAAGGACGGCCTCCAAGGGAGGCAGGATTGGGTGAGCCCCCGAGGAGGTGGCGCTTCCTCGCGCGAGTGCGCTGGCGGGAGACGTGGCGCATGCGCAGAAGCGCCTTTCCGTCGGCCGGCCGGGCCTCTCTGCCCAGCAGCGCCATCTTGAGAGGACGGGAGGTGGGTTCGTTGTCCGTCGGGCCTACTGAGGGCCGCCTGCCTGCCTCGCGGACTTGGCCCGCGGGTCGCCCACGCCTGACCGGTGCGGCCGAGGCGCCGCCGCCGCCGCCGCCGCCGCCATGGAAGACGAGATGCCGAAGACGCTGTGAGTCGGCTGGGAGCCCCACACGCGCAGGGGGAGGGCCCGGCCACGTTGTTTGGGCGCCTTCCCGCCGGCAGGCAGGCGCGAGCTCGCCGGAAAGGCCTCGCCTCTCGTAGTCAGTCGCGGCGTCTCCCAACCGGCGCCTCGTTTCCCCGGGCTTCGGCCGCGGCGGGGGATGCCAGCCGGGAAACCCGGCTTCGGCCGTGGCCTCCCGGCTGGTCCGCCGCCCCGAGGTTCTCCTGCGGGCTCGCCTCTCCCGGCCTCGTGAGCTGCTTTGGGTCGGGGACCTTGGGCCGGGCTTTAAATGAGAGGAACCCCGGCCCGCCTGGCAGGGTTGTTGTTGTTGGGAAAGTAGGGTATCCCAGTCGCCTGTAGACGAGCATACGTGTCCATAGAGGAAAAAGGCGGGATAAAGCCATAGCAATATTGGCGGAGATGCGCATTTCGGCAGGGGGGCCCTCCTGGTCGTGCTTCGCTTGTAGTTTTAAGCCTTTCCATCGGGGAAAATTCTGAATTTACAGCTCCGCTTGGAGGTTTCGTTTCTTTTTTCCTGCGGATTCCCAGCTTTTCCCCCTTTTTCGTCTCCTTTTTCCTGGCCCGACCCTCCCTCGTAACGGTCCTGGCCCAGGACCAGGGGATGTTGGGCCACCCTCGCGGACGTGGGAATGCCCTCCCCTTCTGCCCTCGCCCAGCTCTTCTTCCAGCTGGGGTTGTGTTGCATTTTGTTTGAGGCCAGGCAAAAGTCTCGGGGAGCCCAGCGTCTTTTTTCCTGTCCCTTCTGGCTGCCTCTTCCTCTGTCGAGCTGGGTACATGTGGCAACCAACCGCTCCCCCCCCCCCCCAGGGTCGTTCTGCCCCAGCCGGCAACGCTCTCCTAGTTGAGGGGATGTTCAGCTGCCCTCGCCTGGGGGCTTCCCACCTTCTGAAGTGCGACAGATCCTGCCGGCTGTTTTGTTTACCCAGGATTGTGGTACCAAATGCCTTGGTTTAATTTGGTGATTCCTCAGCCTATCCTAGTTCCTAATCTAGGTTTTAAAATGCTTTTTTCTGTTTGTACTACCTTCTGTTTGGTTGCTTTTTATGCTAATACATTACATATTCATATTTTGTTTTAAAGAATAATTTTCAGCATTTTTTTACAATATTTTGATACACAGGAAACTTGGGGTATGTATTTACATGAAGGTGCCCCTCAAACTCTCAGAATATATTTCAGTCTTGAACTTTCTCATGTTAACATACTTTTATTGACCATTTGCATTTTAGTTGCTTATGCTTCTAATTAGTTTTCTCAATTACTTTCATGCCTCGCAGTTTCTCAGCCAGAATGGCCAATAATTACATTAGCTGAGGATTATGTGGACTGAAGCTAAGGATATCTGGAATAGCTATGGATTCACAAGGATTGCTGTAGCTAGAAGATGAGGGGATTTAAACACATTACTACCCTATTAGCACTTTGACATTTTGTTCACTTCAGGAATATCTTACAAATTAAAGTTCTAATGCAGTCGTTTAAAACAAACTACTAAATATAAACTAGTGTTTAATCAATTATTGGACACAGAGCTTAGAACTAAAAAAAAAATGGATCAATCTTAAGACCTTTCCAGCTTTATAAAGCTTCACACCTATGAGCTTAGTTTTTACATATGATTATTATCCCTTCTTTTGGCATAGCCTCTGTGTTTCTTCGTTACCAGGCAGACTCGTTTGAGAAGGAGGTGTTAAGAATCCAGCCACAGGGCATTAAATCAGTATTAACTGGGTTTGGGATCATATCTGTAGCCTGTGGAGCAGCTTTTAAAACGGGGGGGGGGCTACATTTTGCACTGAGTAGCTTTTCAAACCTCATGCTGAATATATTTTGATGGAGTCATCTGCAGGTCACAAACCATGAAAAAGAATAACCAATTCCCTGTCCTAGAATAGGAGATACCTTTATTGTACCAGTAAAAGCTTGTAAGAGGAAGTGTACCCCCAAAGTCTCAGTTGTAGCCTGGTCCTCTAGAACTGAAGGTGTTCCCAGCAATACCAGTGAATATTTATGTAGAAATGAGCAGCTTCATACTTGGAATAATTTTGTATTTGTTAGTTCACAGATAAGTAGTAAATAAGGTGCAGTATTTTTTAAGACTTAGAAAATAAGGCAAACATATTAATGTAGTAAAATAGTGAAACCAAAAATTAAATTCAAGAGGCTATCAAGTACAATTTTTCCATTGTCCTTTACTTGAAAAAATTTAAAATAGGCAAACAACAGCTTTGATGAAGGAAGGGTTAATACACGGCAACTACAAATATCACAGAGCAAAATAAATTCACATTTAAAGAGATAATATCTGAAGGATAAATATAATATGGATACTTTGTGTAAAAATACTACTAATATTAGAAGTCATAGAATAAAATACCTTGGTGGTCTTTTCCAGGTAGTCCTCGACTTACAGACGTTTGTTTAGTGACCTTTCAAAATTACAGCGACACTGTGATTTATGGCTGTTTTTCACATGACCGTTGCAGCCTCCCCACGGTTGCATGATCAGATTTTGGATGCTTGGCAACTGGTTCATGTTTATGATGGCCGCAGCATCCGGGGTGTGTGTGTGTGTCACGTGATCCCTTTTTGCACCTCTGACAAGCCAAGTCAATGGGGAAGCCAGACTCACTTTTAATCTAACAACTGTAGTGATTCGCTTAACAACTGTGGCAACAGAGGTCGTAAAATGGGGCAAAAATCACTTAACTGTCAGCAACAGAAATTTGGACCACAATTATGGTTGTAAGTCTATTAGTAAATCTACTCTCTGGAGCAGGAGACCCTATGCCATTCCCCACAAGTCGGTGGTTCAATCTCTTGTTTGCACTTATTTGCACAACCTTCGTTGCTGCCGTTAGATTTTAATTTTGCCTTTGCTCAGTGCAGATTTTCAAATCAGAAGTCAGAGAGGTTTTTTTTTGTTTCCTTAGCTCAGTCTTCTAAACACCTTAGATATTTTAGTAATTGCTAAGCTGTGAGACAATCCAGTTGCTCCCTTTGCTACCCTTTTCTTACGTAAGACTTACAAGCTTCAATGTGCATATTTTACAGGTATGTGGGGAATCTGTCAAGAGATGTTACTGAGGCCCTAATTCTCCAGCTGTTCAGTCAGATTGGACCATGCAAAAATTGCAAAATGATAATGGATGTAAGTTGATAGTAGATAAGAATTTTTTATATGCATAGAACTTGATTATACATCAGTCAAAAATATAGAATTGTGTGTATATGTATTTGTGTACTCATCTCTACACAGGAGTATTCTTAATTAACGATTAGCACCTGCTTGGAGTTAGATAAGGGTCAACAGAATTCAAGGGAGGTTGGAATTTATTTATTTATTAAGTTTATTGGCTGCCCACCTTATCCTAGGGTAACTCTGGGTAGCTGACAGTCACATCTAAGTTAAAACATCAAAAGTTAAAATTAAACATTAAAGAAACCTGGGGGAAGGTTGGGGGTGGGATCTGTTATTACTCAATCAACCATTGTGCTTTTCCCCCACTGGGGCCCCAAGCTGACTGGCAAAGCCACATCTTTAGGCCCTTATGAAAAGATAAGAGGATTGGGACCAACCTCACACCGGGGGTCAAGATGTTCCAAAGGGCAGGAATAACAGCAGAGAAGGCTCTCCTCCTGGACCCTGCCAGCTGGAATAATCAGGTGCCTTCTCTGCTGCACGAGTGGTATGGGCCAATCCCAATGGGGTGAGACGGTCCCTCAATTAACCTGGACCCATTCCATGAAAGGCTTTAAAGATGGTCATCAACATCTTGATTTGCACCCTGAAGAAGACTGGTACCAGTGCAGCTTGTGGAGCAATGGTGTTATAGGCCCCCCAAAACTACCCCTCTGCACCAGCTGTAGCTTCCGAATGCTCTTCAAGGGTAGCCCCATGTAAAGCGCATTACAAGAGTCCAGTCGTGAGGTGATTAGGGACTGAATGGCTGAGCGCAGGGAATCCTGGTCCAGGAAAGTTTACAATTGGCACATAGCACCAAGTTGTGCAAAGGCTCTCCTAGCTGCGACTGATCCTAGCTGCGACTGATACTGAACCACATTTTGAATAGCAAAACACAATGGGTAGTGTTAATGCTTTTATATGGTAAAGTTTACTTTAATATTAAATATTTAATATTAAAACTCATTCTAAAAATTACTTTCAAAGATTCGTGAAATCATTTAGAAATGCTGTAATCCTGTTAAAGGAAAAAATAAATGAGATTACAAAGAAGTACAAAATATAAAAGGAATGTGTGCCTGCTCAAAAATATCCATCAGATTTAGTGATTCAGGTAGAGATGTATAGGATTGCACTTTCAGTTTGGCCGTTAAAAAATAATGCATCCATTTAAGACAGTGATTCTCAACCTTTCTAATGCCGTGACCCCATAATACAGTTCCCCATGTTGTGGTGACCCCCAAGTGGGTGTGGCCACCAATAAGAGGAAGTAGGACAGCTAGGGAAAAGGGAAAAAAATGGCGGACAGCATGGTTTGGTGACCCCCGTGAAATGGTCATTTGACCCCAAATGGGGTCCTGACCCACAGGTTGAGAACCACTGATTTAAGAGGTCTAAAACAATTACTTTTGAATACTTTCTTTGGGGCTAGAATGTCCATATTTTGATGTGGCTAACATCCTTTGTCCAAAACCAAAATCTTCCTAGAGGCCAAGAGTGACTGTTTTGTCCTCTCTGTTTAAGCAGACAGCTGGAAACGATCCGTACTGTTTTGTGGAATTCTATGAGCATCGTCACGCAGCCGCAGCTTTAGCGGCAATGAATGGGCGGAAGATAATGGGTAAGGTAAGCTCTCAGGTCTAAAGGGGACATGGAGCAGACTGTGGCTTTAAATAGATGGATGAAAACATGTTTTAAAAAAGAAAATCTAAAGGTAAACTTTTATCCTATTTGAGCCTTGTATATTACAGAATTGAAGAACGTTTTGAGCTAAAACTGCGTTTCACAAATGAAATTTGGGGAAAGTAACTTGGCAAAATAAAGCATAAGTTATAAAAAGGAAAACTATTTAAAATTATTTGCTATTGAACATCATTTGTGGGAGAATCTTGTTATTTTTGATAAACCGCTTAATACGGCAAAGTCACGTTTTGAATGCTGCAAAACCTCAATGTAACGGATGCCTTTTTAGCAGCCTTTGGATTTTGTGGATGAATTTTTTGCCTAGACTTTTACCAGAAGCAGTGGACAAGTCTGTTGCCACCGAAGTAGATAAATCATCAGTTTAAATTTATGTCAGTTAAATTTATGTTAATTTAATAATAATCGCAGTGACTTATGTCATTTGTATAATGATGGCATAGCCCAGATGACAAATTGCCATGAATGATATGATTTGCAATTCTCTTGACATTCAGGAATAATGTCTTTTCCCTCCTTTCCCCCCCCCCCCAATCTGTTCATTCAAGGTTTCTCTGTCTCATATGTCAAATCATTGACAGGACTGCAGATTATATTAATCTTTGTTCTAACTTTCCTGGATATAATTCTAGTAAATATTATTTCTAGGAGGTCAAAGTGAACTGGGCAACAACCCCCAGCAGCCAGAAGAAAGATACCAGCAGTAAGTCCCTTCCTATCCTGAGTCATTACTCTTTATTTGCACAAAAGTCTTTTTAATGTTAAGCAATAAGCATCATGCAAATATTTGCCCTATTATTTTGATCATTATCCTAAGATATTATTTAATGTGTTTGTGTTAATAAACTTAAGAACAAATCTAATCTTTGTCATCAGGTAGTACCGTTGTCAACACACTGCGTTCACAAGGTAATTGTATCTTCTTAAACATAAAATGAAATCTCTCAGGGGTATCTATTCCCTAAGCGCCTGAAGCTGTTGGGGGGGTGATTATGTTGTCGCAAGCTTTCTGCCTCCTCCTCCTCCTCCTCCTCTCTCAGATGGATCAGGATGTGGACTGCGGCCGACTTGTAAGCCCTGTGACCCCAGTGGGCGTGTCCCCTCTGTGAGGGGAAGCTGCTGCCCGCGCTGCACCCCCACACTTCTTGTGGGGTTCCATTTGCTCCTCCAATTGGATCTTCCTTCCCTCCTGTTACTCGGCAACCCGGGGCTGCCTCTACTTGCCCGGCCTGAGAGCTCTGAGAATCTGGGGAGGATGTAAAGGGATTCTTGCCAGAGTGGTGCTGTTGCAGCGCCAAGTGTGCCGTGAAACCTGTTAGAGGTGCAGAAAATTGAAGTGGGCTTTGTGTGACTATGAAGAACCTCCTTAGATATGACACCTGTGTTTCGCCAGTTCTTATGTAAATGGATCTAATCTAAATTATGAAGGGATTACTCTTTCCGTTCTGTTGCCTTCAGTCTTAGTTCACTTGCTCATGGATTTCACATACTTTGAATTCACATGGATTCACATGGTGTAAAGGCTGGGCAACCAAAACTCTTGGCTTTTCAGAAAACTGTCAAATACTTTAACATCAAACTGTTGCAATGCAAGGTATCTTTTTGACTGTTCTTCACAAAATATGACTTAAGTTTGAGCTATATGTAACTTAGGTTTTCCATAACTAGTTTGTGTAAATTTTACTGTCTTGCTCACAGAACCAGTAAATGTGGTAGCTTTTTTAATGCTAGTATTACAAAACAAAGCTACAAATGCAGCATATGTTTGTTTTGGATTTGAGCTAGATGAGCATAGATCTTATGGTAATACATTTTCTGCTATGAATAATTACAGATAATATAAAAACAATAAATGTTAGTTTTATGTAATTTTCTATACATTGTACTGCCATGTTTCCTGATGGATATATAATAAAACAATGTTGTCTTTTGTTACTTGATAGGTTAATAAAATCTAGTTTTCATGTAGTTTCTATTTGTGTGGAAATCAGTACAAGATATTTAAAATTACCATCACCTATACTTCTATGAACACTCTGCAAACTTGTGCGTTTTTCTCTTTTCTTGATAAGACCACTTCCATGTCTTTGTTGGAGACCTCAGCCCAGAAATTACAACTGAAGATATAAAAGCAGCTTTTGCACCATTTGGAAGAATATCGTAAGTAACATCTTGTTGTCGGATATTGGGGGCAATCAAGTATTCAGTTGAATGCAATGAATAGAGTGTTGGCAAGTTAATTTATAGTCTCTACTTATTCAGATTATCAAATAAGCAGTCTTACTAATTGTGCTTAGTGTTTTAGAAGATACATATATTTTACATTGGAAAAGCTGTCTTCTAGGACTTATAATTTAGTTCACATTCTAGAGTGGATTCTCATGTTAAGTAAGGCCTCTGTCTCCTGAGGCATCATATAGTCTCATTAAAGCAGTTTTAAAATTCATCGGGTTTCATAGAAAATGTGGCTTGCAAGACTTTGGCTTTTTGTGAAATGGGTGCTCTATTAAATAAAATAAACTAGAAATTGGTGTCCAGTGTAGTGCATTGCTGCTGTTGCTACAGATGTCGGTGAAGTTAGAGTGACATGATAACAATGTATCATTGTACTTAATCTGATTTGAGTACTCACCAAAGGTTGAATAACAGTAGCAATAGTTTGAAAAAATGACTTCTAAATGTAGAACATCATGAACCGATTCATTAGTTTCGTAACTTGTGCAGACCTCCTGAGACCCAAGGGAGATGAATGGGTCTCTTGCTTCCTCTTATTGAAGACCGGTCTTCAAATTATTTCTTGCTGTTGCAAACCTTGATTCAACAACACTTACATTAGCTATTCTCAGGACTGATAAAAGCCAAGAACAAGTTGTCTGGCATGCTACTCGCATTGCCTGGATCCGCACAGGATAGTGCAGGGAAATGGTCTGCACCCTCAGACCAGGGTGATCACAAAGGTCCTGGTCAATTGGGAGAAATCACCTCCCAACTGCTACACGGTTGGTTGGAAATCTTCCCTTTATTGCAGTTTAAAAATGTTTTTTAAAAAATTAAATATCAGATTGCCCAATTGGGATTACATTAATATAGATGAAATTAGGGTGCATGCTGCCCTTTTTCATCGTATGTGGCATGAGCAATAATGAGTACAGTGGAAAACAGGGAGAGAGCTGGTCTATGCTGGCAGCAGGACGAGAGAGTTCACTCCCTTGCCCCTGTTTGCATGCTACAGATTACTCGAAGAGACCACTTGAGCCTCAAATAACTTAGAAGCTGTTCTGAGCAAAAAAGCCTGCTGCTGAGTTGAGTTCAGCCGTTCATATGATATGCCACACCCAGCCAGCCAGCCAGCCAGTTAGGGTTTATCCGTCCATTCTGAATGGGTGATAAGAGGCTGTCTGTTCTTGCAGAAGATCAACAAATGCTTCCCTTCACAAGGCCTCTTGCTAGTGCATGTGTTCTAGCACTGCTCTGTTCATGAAGATCCCATCGAACAAAAATGGGATCTGTGACCGCTCCTGGGCCAGCCAAAGAAAGAATGAGGCTTCCCCCCCCCCAATCCTTAGAGAGGTACTCTCTCTCTCTCTCTCTCTCTCTCTCTCTCTCTCCCCCCCCCCCCATGTTAGACTTGAGGCAGCCCTCTCTGTCTTGGGCCTAGCTGTCAATAAATGCTGTGCAGGATTGCCTAGTCTTAAAGGTCCCCAACTGTCTGTGGCTTTGGGGATGTTGGGAGTCCTTTATGGCCACTCTCTCAAGAAAGCTGCTGTCGTAAACGTGGTGACATTCTTCCTTCTGCCCCTCTAAACTTGTAAGATGTTCTCCTCCTAGCTTTGCCTTTCTGTCTCTCCAGTCCTACCCCAAGCAAGAATTGATCCAAACAAGACAGTAAGCTGCAACCGGATTCCTGAGGCTTCTGCTCCTTTTCCTTACATCATGAGAGCTATCTTATCTATTGTCTGTCTGTCTGTCTGTCTATCTATCTATCTATCTATCCTGATGTATTATGGCTGCCTATCTTAAATAAATAACTGGACAACTAACAAACAATACCTTAAAAGCCATGTTAATGGAAAATAAACTTAAACAATACAGAATTCAGTTAGGAATCATAATTCTCTTACAATACAAAATATATATTTAATCAAATTTGTATAGCCGCCCATCTCACAAAAAGCGACTATACTACATATTCTGAAAAAAGCAAAGTATTTTATGTTGTAATTAGGTAGTAATCCTAGTACATGTCAAAGCGTACCATTTTAAATATTAAAATACTTAATGGTAGGGTCTGATTTGTTTTGAAAAAAAGTATTGCTCTAGGGGTGGAGGAAGTAAAACCTTTGACCAAAGGTTATTCTTAGTGGTCTTTTTCCCAAAGAAGAACTTTTGCTTAAAATATTTTGGATGCTAGGATTCAGAAGCAAAAACTATGAATAAAAATTCTGAGATTTTTTAAGCTAAAAATTACTTCAGTTTTTGTTTAAAGGACAAACCAGCTTGGTGTAGTAGTTGAGACATCAGACTAGAGACAGGGAAACGCTGAGATCTAGTCCCTCCTTGGACATCAAGCTAGTCCCTTCTCTCAGCCCCAGAAAGAAGGCAGTGGCAGACCACTTCTGACAAACCTTGGCAAGAGAACTGCAGGGACATGTCCAGGCACTCGCTGAGAATTGGACAGAATTGAATGGAAGTAAAAAGGAACCTTTAATATTTATAATGCGTTGAATACCAATATAAAATTTGTTGTTTATCAGCTGCAGTTGAAGTCTCCGATTCATGACCCCTTTCAGGGATCTACTACTAATGTCAGTGAAGGCGAAGGGCCTGTGCGTTCCAATCCCAGCCCTCTGCCTCCCTGAACGTGGTGCAGAACTGACCACAGATAACGTGAGCTGCACAGGTTTGCCATTCTCATGAAGACAAATCCGTTTAGTTGCCCTTGGTTATGGTTCCTCTTCAGATTTCCATATTCACATGGGAGCCTGTGGGATGGAGGAGGGGAGTGCATTGCCTCCGGCCCCCCCCCACGCCCCTATAGTTACATTTGTAGGCCTTTAAAGAGTACCATACTTTTGTGGAGGACTCTGTAGCCCTTAGTACTGGTAAAGGTGGTCTGTCCTTTTTTGGGAAAGAGTTGTTTGATTTTGATTCATGCAGACTGAGATAGAAGATGACTAAGTGAATCTACAATTGCAGCCCTTAAGTTCTTCCTCATTCAGGTGTCTGGTCTAGCATCTTCTGGACATCATTTTGTTCTCTTTTGAGACCTGAGATTTTCAGCGTGCCGGAAACCAGTCTTCACCACTACAGTGGTTGGATTTGCACAGCAGGATATATAGGATATATAAGTACAAGGAAATATAGAATCTGATGATGGCTTGGTTCATGGACTTGGCCAATTGAAAGCCTAGAACGCATTCCAGAGCAAGATTTGCCCAAGTTTAGTGTTTAAGTTTAATTTTCTGCAATCATAGTCGCTTTGTTTTTAATGTGATAAACTTGTAAACTCCAGACAGGGGTTAACTTAAAAATTCTGCTACTGCTGTGATGTAAGTCTGCAGTTGATTCTTGAAGGGGAAAGCCTGTCTGCTACCCTTCCCAGTGAGCTTCATTCCGAGTGATTCTGAATAGCTGCATTGAGATTTGTGTCAGCCTAGAGGTAGGAAGGGCAGAATACGAGTTGGGAACTAAAGAGCATACACATCCCTCCTTGAAGCCCAAAACTTCTGCCCCACTAGCTTGTGATCCAGAATTGCTCTGGCAGCATGCTGGTGCTAATCCTAACCAGGGATGGTGTGTACTGGTGTGCTTATATTACCTCAGTAGCCGAAACTCTTGTTCCTTAACCACTGAAGGAGATGTGAGAAGGAAGATAGAACATTGGAATATATTTAAGAATAAAAACATAGCCAGCATGCAGTCTTTCAAGTTTCCTTTAATTCAGAAAGTAGAAGAACGTGTACTTCATCTGTTATTTTTAATAGCTGAATTAGAATGCTATATATTTAGTATACTGAAAATGTTAAAAATAAAAATGTTATTTTATTCTCTTGAGGGGTGGCATTCAATTTCTGGGTGAAAATAATTTGTTGTAGTCTAGCGATAGTTTCAGAAGTATTGATTTGAATAATTCAGTATTTGTATAAACTTTAATGTATTCTTAGAACAAATTGATTATACTTCTGTATAAATGCATTTATTCTATCAGGGTTTGACTAGCACATCCATGTGTTTGTGGCTTGGGTTCTTATTTTAAAAAATGATAGTTAAGAGTTAAGTACAGAGAATCATCCATGTTATTATGAAATTAATTGTTCCCTGTTCTAACTCGGACAACGAAAAGTTTAAGGCAAATATCCATTTCTTCTGGATTATTGGGTTATTTTCTTTCTTATAGAATAATATCTTTAATGATCTTGATACCTAGTTGGCTGTTCAGTGATTTTCCAATTCCTTAGCTTCTCTTCCTTATATCTTAAGTACCAGAAGATAGATACTGAATGTCTATAGAAATTCTTTTGAGGAACTGCTTGGCATCACATGAAGCCTTTTCTAGATTTAGTGTATGGGACTGTCTTTTGGGTATCCTGCATGGCCTTCCCCCCCCCCTTTACTCTGTGATTAAGTGTCTGCGTGTCAAGTGCCTAAATCATGTGGGTTGGGGAGGGTAAAGCTGGCTGCCTGTCTAAGCCTTCTCAATGGTGCACCCTTAATGCATAAATTATCTGAGGGGCCCTTAATTAATAAAAATGGCATTTCCACCAGTGGGGTTTAGCTATTGTAGCTGGGTCTTTGTCTTTTTTCACTCAATCTCAAATAATAGGGCTCTGGTTATTTTGCAGAATGTCTCTGAAGAATGGACAGCATTGCCATGGCTAACTGCAAGCTACAGTTCACAGTGGACAAACGTTGTAGTTTTTCTATTTACTTTTATAAATTTTTACTTTATATACTTTGTAGTTTTCAATCAGTCCTGTATGATTGTTAATTACGAATGCAGTTTTTAAAAATTATTTAATAGTGTATAGTTTTAAAAAACATGTTAGTGTTTATTTTCTTCCATAATGCAACCATTTCTGAAAATGTCAATTTCTCAAAATTTACAGCTGCCCAAGTCCAAAAAGGGGGTAACGAATTGACCTGAGAAAATTAAAGAATTCAGTTAACAGGCGACGTATGCCTTTTAATTCCTATTTTTTCATTTTTTCTATTTTCTATTTCTAATAAGTAGGTAGAATGTGTTGGCCAATAGTAAGTTTATAAATTGCATGGTTCAAGAGAGCCTGTTGCTAATATGCTAGTCAACTCCATGCCCTCAGTTATTCCTTTGAATAGCTGCTTTGACCATGCCTAGTGTTTTTAACAGTATATAAGAGCATTGAACTGTGAACCAACGACTGTAAAATAGTTGTTTTTAAAGCTATTGATTTTGCATGTTTACAGAATTAAGTTTAATTTTTGCTATCATGTGATAAGACTTTATAGTAAAAGGGAAAATTGCTTTGTATATTGCTGGTGCATTTAAGAAATTCATTTTATTAAAGGAGAAACATGAGAAATGAGCTGCGTGTGAGACATTTTTACTTAGATTCTGTTCAGTTGATGTTTAACAGGTTTTCTCTTTCCTTTTTAGGGATGCCCGAGTTGTTAAGGACATGGCAACAGGAAAATCAAAAGGATATGGCTTTGTTTCTTTTTTCAATAAATGGGTGAGTTCCTGCGTTTTGATTGATGGTTTTACTCCCAACGCATAGCTGGTCAAATGTATCCAGCAACTATTATGGAAGGCATCTTGGTTGTGCAATAACACAAAATGCTGAAATAGTTAGATATGCTTTAGTTCAGAAATCTTGTGGCGTAGTTTTACACCATGTAACTAATAATCCAGAACCCGACAAGTTAATTCACTATTACTAACAGTCCGGATGTACTATGTGATTTTTCAGCAGTATAGTTCCATAGGCCTTTGTGTTGTGCGCCAGTGACACCTTTTCCTGGATAGGGAGGCTCCATCACTCACACCCTTGTCATCCCCTGTTTGGACTATTGCAATGTGCTCTACATGGGGCTACCCTTGAAGAGTATATTATGTTTTATAGTTGTATGCCGGGGAGAGAGAGATGATCCAGACACAAGAACAATAGGGCAACTGCAACACTTCCTTCTGATTGGTTTTGGAAATAATGACCAACCTTATCTTCAACTAATACAATGAAACTTAAATTGCCTGCGGTTCATAGAATTTCACTTCATAATGCTTGTACATTCACATTTCTTTTAAAATAGATACTGCTCTTTTCAGAAAAGAAGCATATTCTTTTCAGTCTTAATTTGTTAAATGATTTTTTATGATACAGTTCTTGAAATATGTGAGAAATGTGGAGAATGGTGAGCTACAGATAAGCCTTTTGTAAATCAGCATGATATAATTTTATTCCTCTTGGTAGATGTGATACTATAATAAATGTTTATGACAGGCAAAAAAAAATACTGTGATTTAGTGTTCTTTGAAAGGTTTTTTTAAACAATTTTTTTTTCTGGACCTGGATAGGATGCAGAAAATGCAATTCAACAAATGGGGGGACAGTGGCTTGGTGGAAGACAAATCAGGACTAATTGGGCAACACGCAAACCTCCAGCTCCAAAGAGTACATATGAATGTGAGTAGTCTTCAGAATAAATTAGGTATTTCCGGCTATAAGAAAAAGGCTTTTCTGAATCCAAAAGGACTGAGTCCTTTGCTACGGACAAGTGTATCCGATTAATGGGCTATTGCTGGTGCTGAAAGATTTAATCTCTATATTTTCAAACTAGGCTTTGAATTCCTACCAGTGTTAGATTGTGAACTAAATATTTCAGAGATTGAAATTAATACTATTTAAAGTTAATTGTAAAAGGAAATCAACCCTGACTGTCCTTTGGAAGGGCTGAAGCTGAAGCTCAAATATTTTGGTTACCAAGTGAGAAGAGGGGACTCGTAGGAAAAGACCCTGATGCTGGGAAAGAGTGAAGGCAAAAGGAAAAGAGGAGGGAAGAGGAGATGCTTAGATGGGGTCATTAATGCAAGGAACATGAGTTTGGGCAAACTCCAGGAGATGGAGGGAGGACGGGGGGGGGGTGTCCTGGTATGCTGTGCTCCATGGAGTCGCGAAGAGTTGGACATGACTTAGCGACTGAACAACAACAAAAAGTTAATTGTAAATCCTTAGGATAGAGCGTGATAGTTTTGGAAAATAGTTTTTCAAATGTCATTTCTTGTGTTTCATTATATTCAGTATTTTTGGACATCTTCACTTTATTGTAAATAAATCAGAGACTAGTAAAAAACTTCGTTTTTTTACATAGCAAATGCCAAACAGCTCTCCTACGATGATGTTGTAAATCAGTCCAGTCCAAGCAACTGCACTGTGTATTGTGGTGGTGTAACTTCAGGTCTGACAGGTAGGATATGTCATTAATTTAGAGTGACCTTGTGAAGAACAATTGAAGTGCACATTCTGAAATCTTTTCAATCTTCTTGTTTGCAGAACAGCTGATGCGCCAGACATTTTCTCCATTTGGGCAGATAATGGAAATTCGAGTCTTTCCAGATAAAGGGTACTCCTTTGTACGGTATGAAAATATTTCCCTTGCGCACCCTATTTGTGTTTTCAGAAGTTTTATAAAACCACCTCTAGTTAGTCTCTAACTAATGTGCAAATTCACATTTAGAATTAGAATTTGTTATTGGCCAATGTGATTGGACACACAAGGAATTTGTCTCCGGTGCATAAGCTGTCAGTGTACATACAAACAACAAGTGATAAATCATGATCATAATCATAAAATACAGTTATCATTAATCATAAGATAGAGCACTCGGTGATAGTCATAGGATACTAAATAAGCAATCAACATAAATCATACTAAGATACTAAATAAAACTATATAAACTGATTTGCAGAGAGACAGATGGATATGTTGCAGTGTGCAAAATGTTTTTAATACAGAGTTTAATTCATATTTTAAAAACACAACTCAGGCTTTGGCAAATGCTATAAGTACTTCAGCCAGCATGAAGGAGTTGGGAGAAAGGAACCCTATGCCATTCCAGACAAGTGGCTGTCCAGTCTCTTTTAAAAACCTCCACTGATGGAGCAACCACAACTTCTGGAGTTAAGCCGTTCCGCTGGTTAATTATTCTCACTGTTAGGAAGTGTGATCTTAACAGTGCTGTATAAAATGGTAGCATCACTTCGTGTGATGCGGGTACTATTCCTCTGCCAAGCACTGCGTTGGCTTTTTTGGCAACTGCAGCTGCAACACGCTGCTGACTCATGCTTGTTTGGTTGTCCATTGGGACTTTTAGATCTCTCTCATTGTTAACTGCTGTTGAGCCAGATACCACCTCTTCTATACTTGTACATTTAGTTTTTCTTGCCTAAGTGTAAGACCGTACGTTTCTCATTACTGAATGGCATTTTGTTGGATAGGGCCCACTCTGCCAACATACTTCCAAAGAAGGGTCAAATAAAGTAAAACAAGTATTTTTGTCATGTTGGGTGGCTGAGAATTCTTCAGACTTATTTTCTGCATATGTCACTTATGATGTCTAACTTCTAGTGCAGGGCCAGAGCAGAGTATGTGGCTCTGTCTTTCAACTTGTCCTCAAAACTTACTTTCCCAGCATTGTCATCTTCAATGTGGACAGCATGTGCCTATTCATATTAATAAAGAGTTGTTGCATCATCTTTTATATGCTGCCTCATTAATGAGAGCGATTATATTAATTTACTTCCTTGGATGCTTTACAGGTTCAATTCTCATGAAAGTGCTGCACATGCAATTGTTTCAGTCAATGGCACAACAATAGAAGGGCATGTGGTAAAATGCTATTGGGGCAAAGAAACGCCAGACATGATCAACCCAATTCAACAGGTAAGAGTCCTTTGCTATTACCTGTCCCGCTAAAAAGCATTCCAAAAATTACTATGTAGATATGTCCTCTTTTTGTTATTCATTTATAGTCTGGTAATCATAGTTGGAAGGTGGGTAGTAATTAACTATATTATGTGTCATAGTGAAGAACTCTTGCAAATTCCTATATGACGTAAAATGATTTCCTTGTACTGTATTGGACATGAATTAGCAAAGTGATTTTGCCTGTGTTCCATGCAAACTTTGAATACTCCTTCACATTTTCAGCAGAATCAAGTGGGGTATCCGCCTCCTTACGGGCAGTGGGGCCAGTGGTATGGAAGCGCCCAGCAGATTGGCCAGTATATGCCTAATGGCTGGCAAGTCCCTGCATATGGGATGTATGGGCAGGCGTGGAACCAGGGGTTCAGGTGAGTGTTGGAGTTTGCTGAGGCTGGCTGGCAATAATGAAAATGAAAGTACACATAGTTGGAGCACTAGGTTTTCATTTTTAAATGTTCATAGATTAACTGTTATGTGCTTGTTTGAAAGACAGCATTTGTGTCTTCACCAGTTCAATTATTTTTATATATTTATAGGTTGCATACATAAAAGGGATAAAATTCTAATTAAACCAGCATTAAAAAAAGCCTACTACAAAATTAGACTGTCCTTTCAAAATAGTAAACCACAGTTGTGCCTAGAATACCAAATAGTAATAAATTTTATTCACCAAAAGGTTGATTAAATAAACAGCTCTTAAAGGCTAGCAGCAATGGAACATTTGATGAACTGAGTTGCCTTCAAATGCCCAGTTCATAGTTACTGCTACTTTAGTCTCAAAAGGTGAAGGGGTTGTGATCCCAGGCTTCTGGTGTTATGGAAAATATACAAGAAACACTCAACTTGATTGCTTGCTGTTGTCTATTATAATGCAAGCTTTATCTAATCTCATTTCCTCTTCCATTCAGTCAGACACAGTCATCTGCAGCATGGATGGGTGCAAATTATGGTGTACCACCCCCTCCACCGCCCCCACCACCACCACCCCAGGGGCAAAATGGAAGTGTCCTAACTAGTCAAACTGGATATCGGATGGCAGGTTTTGAAACACAGTGAGAGACAGAGAAGGACTTTGGAATAGAACACCTGTGGCTTTGAGGCTGTATGGAGCATTGTAAAATCCTTTGTTTACTTAAAAAAAATCTATCCAATCAAGTCAGTGCAAAAGTCAAACAGTATTTATTTTTAATCATGAAACGTTGTTGTCCACGCTTTTTTTTAAAAGACACACAGGAAATACTAGATGCTGGATATCTGCCAACTTTTGCCTTCTTTTCCTCTTTTGAGATGTGTTTCTTAAGATCCATGTTTGAAACACAACTAATGCAGGGATTTCTGCCACTTTTAGTATAGCGGCAGGAAATTGCACAATATCAAACTTTTTTTTCCACTGAAGTAGTATGCAGTCTAGTTTGCATTCCTAGTATGACTTAAATGTACATGAAAGAAGTTATACGAGAGAAAAAAGACACGCCAAAACTGTGTGAATTCTGGGGGTTTATTGAAATCTTCAGTTTGTGCACAATTCTATTTTAAAGAGAGCCTGATGTATAAAGTGTCCATCTCCTTGCTTTTGTTATACTGGGATTTCAAATATAACTTATTCGTTTACATTATTTTGTACCTAAACATTTTTCGGAAAATGGTTTTTGCCTTACTATCACTATTAAATTATGAAGTAGGAGTCAGGATGTGGGCAAGCGCCTCGTGCTCAGAGAATCCAGCTCTGGGGCTCGGTGTCAGGCTGTCCCTGTTCATTGACTCAGTGACCTCCTTCACGGATGAACATAAGCCCAGTTCAGATCTTACTAAAATGTGACACGATCTTAGGAGCCAGCTTTTTAAAACCTGTCCGTTTTTACATTTACATATATCCTTTATCATGTAAACTATTTTAGCAAATTAATATTTTCACAAAAGTCGCTCAGCTTTTGTATGTCTCCTTTGAAAGAGTAAGAGACAGGAAGAACTACATGACTTATGGCTATAATTTAAGCTTTGACTTTTGCATGTGAATATCTAATACACTTTTAGACTTTGAATAAACAGTCATGCTCTCGTTTTTCAGAGATAGAGAGAATACATTGGTCTTGGCAGCTTTTTACTGACGTGGAGCAACTCTGACTTGATTTAGCATGTACAGATAGAGCTGTTAAACTATGTAGCGTTGTGTCTTATCAAGCCAGGAGTAAAAGGAGTGCTTCAGCTGAAGCCTGAAGGACCAACTGGATAAAGCATTTTTGAATTGTTCAGAGGCCAAATAATAATAATAAATAATAGCGTTTTCCTACCTCCTTGGCTAGCTTTCAGATGATGCAGAAGGAACACTACTCTGAGTGTACTGATTATCTATCCCAATTAACATCTGGGCACGTGGAGATGTTTGCTTTCCATTTTGCTTTGGTTGTAGTGCAGCAACCTTTTGAGAAGTTGCTGGTATGCACAATACAGCGACCAGCCACCCTCATTTGATGGAACAAAAGGAGCCAGAACCAAAGCAGAGGGTTGGCTGCTAGAAAAACAAATTGTTGTCTTGTAGACAGGTCCTGGCCCTAACATTTTATAAATAAAGCATCCCCAAAAGACGCCATTGAATTTGTAGATTAATTTCACTCACGTCTGCTTTAACATTTGTATAAACCTCTCTTTTTTCTGCTTACTGTCTCTGCCTGCACAATTCTTTTAAAAGAGAAATGTGAATAGGTGTGAGGTGAGCCTAGTGCCATTTGGGGAGTTTTCGTTGTATATATTTTCAGTAGCAGAATTGAGTACAGATTTCTTTCGCAGAAGCCAGCGAAGATCCCACAGCCAGCAAACCAAGAAAGTTTTCAACATCTTGACAATATTTGTTATTGTCCCCGGAGTAAGTTGAGTTGGGTAACACAAGCTTTAATGCATTTCAACAATATGTAAATATTTGAAAGGGTAAGGCAAAAAAAGATTTTCAATATTTTTTAAAAGTTGTATTACGGCTTCAGTCTGACAACACTATGAAAGCAATGGATTGCCCTGTTGGTTTCCTCGGAGGAGACCTTTCTCTGCTGAGCCTCTGTGAACCAGACCTGATTTTGTGTCCCATTAGTGGAAGCTTTTTAAGTGCCACTGTTGCTGCAACCAGGGTGTGACACAGGCCCTAAGGAAAAAGGAGGGACTGTTTCTTCTTCCTCCTCTCCCCCAGCTTCTCTCTCATTCAGGCATCAGCTTTCTTACTCTCAGATGTGCAAACAGATCCAACAGTCTTCAGGCAACAGGAGAAAATGTTGCCTGGGTGTGTTGTTTTTTTAAGTAGCAGCCCGTTTTTTTTATTTCTGTATGAACTTTGGAAGCTTCATTTAAACGAATGTGTTTTGATAGTTATGTACAGAAGTTGAAGAACTTCACTCCAGAAGCCCTGACTTTTGAAAGCCATTAAGATGTTAATAAAAGATGTGAGCTCGCATTTACCCTTGTATATTTTAAATGGTTTTTGTTTTTAGCTATTCCAAACTTGCTTTGGGGGAAAGGGGGCGGCGGCAGAACGGTAGCGGAGCGTTCGCCGCGAGGCCGTCGAGGGTTTCCATTGGCTTCCCCCGGAGATTGGAATGGCCTTGCCTAGAGGGCCGCTTTTCCCCCAGGATGCGAGGCTGCCACGTGCTTCTTCCGGAGGAGCGGGGCCCGGACTCGGTCTCCCGTGGTGCTTCGCGCGCCCCGGCCAATGAGAGGCTTCGTTACAGACGGATTTCGCGAGCCGTTTGTAAGAAGCCATCGCGGAGGCCGCTCGCCGCCTTTCCTCGCCGGCCGGCGGCCTGGAACGCTGGGCGGGGAGCCGCCAGGTAAAGGCGACGCGAAGGGACCCGGGACGGGGGCAGGAAATGACGACGCGCGGTCTTCTGGCGGTCCCGGGTTGCCAGGGAGAGCGGCGGTAGCAAGTGACGTCAGGGGCGGGCAGAGGGGGCCGTCGGAGCGGCTTCCGGGTGTGTGGACTCCACCTCCCAGGACTCTCAGCGGGGACGATGCTGACGGGGGCATTCTGGGAGCTGAAGTCCACCCATTTTATAATAACCCAGCGGGAGAATGGCTGAATTCGGGTCACGGCCAGCCAGGAACGCGCGCGGGCCCGGACACGAAGCGCGGAGCTCGAGGCTCCTCCGAGGCGTCCCGGTTTGGTCAGGCCCTTCTCGCTCCGCACGAGGGAGGCCGCGCGACCTGGAGAGCTACGGGGCTTCCCGAAGGGCCTGGCGCGGACCCGCCTTCCCGTCGCCTAGGCCCGCATTTGCCAGCCCTGCCCGCTTCCAGGCCGGGAAACTCCAGCTCCCAGAATCCTCATCGGTGGCCGCGCCGGCTGTGGGATTGTGGGAGTTGAAGTCCGTGCGGCTGGAACTCGGGCCGAGACGAGCGAGGCATCTCCCGCTGGAGAGACTGCCGTTTTCGTAGGGAATGGATCCCTCCCAAGGAGAACGACCCGGAGCACAAAACTCCCAGGGCTGGAAGGGACCGCGGGGGCTTCCAGTAGCCCAAGACGGGAGGCCAGGAACCGCGCCAGTCCAGTGCCCGGCCCGTCTCCCCTTTCTCTCCCCCAGTGACGGGGGACCCGCAGCTTCTGGAGGAGGGAAGCTGCTCTCACTGTCGTTTCTCCTGGAAAGGGAAGGGCAAACTTTTTCTTCTTTCAGATGAAACGGGTTCCCAAATGGCCATATGAATCTAAGAGCTCATTAAGTGACACCAGGTGCCTGTTAAAATAAGTCTGCTGTATTTTCTACTTAAAGTACTGCATTCAGTATTTTAGAAGTCTCATATAATGACAGAGATGGAGGGAAACCTGAAGGTCCAACCCCCTGCTCCAGGTCCCGCCCATCGCGACCCCATGGACAACGTTCCTCCAGGCCTTCCTGTCCTCTACCATCTTCTGCCGTCCATTTAAGCTCACGCCTAAATACCTAATTTCTGCATTGTTCATCATACATTTTAGCTTCCCAGCCCCTAATCATCTTTGTTGCTCTTCTCTGCACTCTTGCCAGAGCCTCAACATCTTTTTTGTATTGCATTGTGGTAACCAGAACTAGACACAATATTCCAAGTGTGGTCTTACCAGTGCAATACAAAACACTTGATTCTACCCTTCTGTTAATGCAGCCTGGAACTGCTTTGGCCTTTTTGGCAGCTGCCCCACATGGCTGGCTCATATTTAAGTGGTTGTCCAAGATCCCTCCCTATTTACTGCTGTTGAGCCAGTTATTTCCTATTCTAGATCTGTGCGTTTGATTTTTCCTACCTAAGAGCAGGACTTGACTTATTGCCCTCCTCCTCTTCTTCTTCCTCTTCTTTGGCAATTGGCCTGTATGATGCTGTGTGCAGATAAATGGGAATTCTTTTTTAAATATATATATATATATATTGATTTTTAATACAATTCAAAAGTACTTATTCAACAAACGTATTGTCTGAGTTTATCATTCACTAATACAAATTGAATTCCTAATCCCTTATTCTTTTTCTCCAGCTATTGATAAGTTTGAAAGTATTCTGTTTCTTTCTTTTTCTTTCAACTTCAGAGTAAGTCTGTCCATTTCCGCACAATCTAGTATTTTTTTAATTATTTCTTCCTCTGGTGGTATTTCTTCATTTTTCCAATATTGTGCGAATATGATTCTTGCCACTGTTATCACATGTAAAATCAAGTATATACTTTGTTTGTCAAGCTTTTCTGGCATTATATCTAATAAAAAAAGTTCCAGTTTAAAATCTATATGTTTTCCCAACATCTTTTCTAGCCAAGTATGTATTTTTGTCCAATATCTCTTTGCTTTAACACACGTCCACCAAGAAGGAATCCTTTCGCTCAGGGAGTCAGACACTCATTTTGCACTTAAAAATGCCCTACAAAAGCTGACGAGGTTGATCCTACCCACTCCACTTGCTTGATTCCATTGCTGCGCCCAGTTTCACACTTGCAGCTTCCTTCAACATGGAAATCAGCCACAAAAATCACACGCACACCACACTAGATAGCCCTAATCTTGCACCAAAACTAGCTGAGGTTTTGATCCTCCCTTTACAAAAGCCTTTGCTCAGATTTTGGCCCTGACTCCTCTTCAGGGCTGCTGTAAAGGAGCAGAGGCTTCCTTCTCTTCTCCTTCCACTGTCAGCAGATCCTGCTGGTTTGAGAAGGAGAGAGAGTTGAGGGGCACCTGCCCACCCAGGGCCTGCCCGAGGCTTCAGAGCAGCAGTGGCTTCATTGTGACACCCCCACGCGGGCAATCTGTATTCTCACCAGAATCCTGAGCAGGATTCCTGACATCCCACCCTGTCCCGGCCCCTGCAGGGCTGGGACTGGCTCTGGCTCTGGCTCAGCTGGCTGCCACACTGTCCAGGCAATGGTGGGTCATCAGAGGATGGGGAAGGGGGGTGGGCTATGTTTTCAGCTTCTCCTTGTTGCTTTAGGTATTGGGTTTCACTTTCTGCAACTCGGATCAGCTCAGCCAGCTCCTCTGAAGAATAACTGAAGAATAAATGTCGTTCCCTCCATTTTAGGAGATGGCATACTAAGGAGTTGGTCGGCACTGCCCAACTAGGACTTCTTTTTCTGACCTCCCTAGTTTTGTTCTTCTGGTTACAAGTGGAGGGAAGAAGGCTGAGCTGAGTGTGCTTGGGCTAGTTTTGTAAACCAACTCTCCTCTGTGTGGTCAGCTCCGCCAGAAGACTCAGTTTCGGCAGCAGGTGGGGGTGTGAGTCCAAGTGGCTGCTTTGCATCTTGGAGGCAGACTTTCTGTTCTTCCACTGAAGAAGGCCAGAGGTCTGAGCAAAGGTAGGCCGTCTCAGGTGCTGAGTCTGGCTCTTAGGAAATTATCCTACGCCAACCATGGTAAACTGAAGTAGAAAAGGTCTCTTTTAAAATAAGCTCCGTTCTGTCACTGTCTTTAGGACAGGGGTGTCAAACTGCCGGCCCATGGGCCAGACGCATCACATAGAAGCCGCGCCCACCCCATTGCCGGCAATGGCAAAACGGTCCCGATACGTCATAGAACATCATGTGACATCGCGAGTTTGACATGTCTGTTTTAGGATAATTCCCCAGTTGGTTGTACTTTTTGTTTATTGCTTACGGTCCTCCTTAGGTCTCCCACTTTTGGCACCAGAATTGCCCTCTGAATGTCATAGAATCATAGAGTTGGAAGGGACCTAGTCTGCACCTATGCAGTTGATTTTTCTTGCCTAAGTGTAAAACCTGACTTTTATCTATGTTGAATTTCATTTTGTTAGATGGGGCCCAATGCTCAAGTCTGTCCAGAGCTTTAACTTGTCTTCTGGAATGTTGGCTATCTCTGCCAGCTTAGTGTTGTCTGATCCCTTTCAGGTCCCTCGTCTAGATCGTTTATGAAGATAGGAGCGCTGGGCCTAAAACAGAACCTTGCAATAGCCCACTGCTTACTTCCCTCCATGTGGATGGAGTCCCACTAAGGACTACATGTTGAGTGCGATGTGTCAGCCAGTTACAAACCCCAGATCTGGTGGTAGGGTTGTTTATCCCACATTTTTCTAGCTTACCAAGAAACAGATTGTGGTCGACTTTATCAAATCCTTTACTGAAATCTAAGTATACTATGACCACAGCATTTTGCTGGCCCACTCATTTCTGCAGACCATTTCTGGTGCTTTTCTCAGACAAGAATCAGAGGAAAACAGTTTAAATCCATCCCAGTAGTGACCCCCAAGGACCTGGGCAGGGCTTTTCTACGGAATCAAACTTTCCCACTCCTCTTTGGCTCAGGTTCTCTGAAGGATGGACTCCGGCTCCCTGAGGAATAAAGTCCCGGCTTTCTTATCAGACCTGGGGAAAGCAACCTTGAGAGGCATCAGGAAATGCCCCCGATGCGGCACCTACAACGGCACTCGTGGGCTGAGCTGCAAAAACAAGACCTGTGGCACCGTCTTCCGCTACGGCTCACGGAAGCCGGCTGGCATTGATGCTGTCAAGATCATTACCGGCTCGGACCTCCAGATCTACTCAGTGCGGCAGAGGGACAGGGGCCCCGAATATCGGTGCTTTGTGGAGCTGGGCGTCTCGGAGACCACCATCCAGACTGTGGACGGGACCATCCTCACCCAGCTCAGCTCTGGGCGCTGCTACCTCCCAGCATGTCTGAAGGCAGCGACCCAAGGGGTGGTGGAAAACCAGTGCCAGCACCTGAAGCTTGCTGTGAGCTGCCAGGCAGAGGCCACCCCCTTGACGCTGAAAAGCTCCGTCTTGAACTCAATGCAGGCCTCGCCCCAGACCAAGCACACCCTCTGGGAGCTGGCCACCCAGCCCTCGGGGCCCCTGGTACAAAGAATCACTAAGAACGTGCTGGTGGTCAAGTGCAAGGCCGGCCCGAAGCACAGCTTGGGCTATCTCCACATCACTTTTGCTCCCAGGTCTGGCCACAAGCACCTAGCGGGCTCCCGCTTTTTCTGCCCCTGCCAGTCCTTGAGGGCCAGCAAGGCTGGCCCTGCCACGGAAGAGGGCAGCCAGAAATGCATCCATTTCTTTGCCTGCATCTGTGCCTTCGCCAGCGACGAGGCTTTAGCCCAGGAGTTTGCGGATTTCCTCAGCGATGAGCCTGGTGGTGGGTATGCACAGAGGACGGAGCAGCCGCTGGGGGGTGGGGGGAGGAGACCTTCTGGCCCCTCCAGCCTCCTGAGCTTCAGCACTGATTAGTGGGCAGCAGAACGGCCCAGGCAGGCCTGGCTGTTGGTGGGTGGCGGGAGCAAAAGCCGCCACTCAGGCCGGGGGAGGCTCCTAAGCGGCCCTTTTTCTTTCGCACTTGCAGGTTTGCATTCCCCGGCAAGAGCTCCGCTTGCTTGCCAGCCAGAATCCCCTCTGCCCTCGGTAGACTCTGTGGCCTCCAAAGCGAAGCGCAAGAAGAAGGACGAAGGGCTGGGTGAGAAGCTTCAATGTTGGCTCATTTTCTGGGCGGATCTGGGTTCCGTGTTGACATGCTTGAACCCGTCAAGACGTGTGGAGTTCAACTCCAGAGTTTGCTGGCTGGGGAGTTCTGGGAATTGACCCACCTTAACACTGTTAAGACCTGTGATGCTGTCTAGAAAATGCGGACGGGAGCTCCTTTTTTATTTGTTCTCAGTCCTTATTTCACTCATAAACTAGCATGAAATATGAAATCGCAATCATTGAAGAAATACAGGCAGTCCTCAACTTACCACCACTGAGCCCAAAATTTATTTTGCTAAGCAAGACGGTTGTTAAGGAAGTTTTGCCCCTTTCTTTCCAGTTCTTAAGTGAATTGCTGCAGTTGTTAAGTTCATAAGAAGGTTGTTAAATAAATCCAGCTTCCCCCACTGACTTTGCTTGTCAGAAGGTTGCAAAAGGGGGTCCCATGACCCTGGGAAACTCCGACCGTCGTAAAGAGTCAGTTGCCAAGCATCTGAATTTTGATCACGTGACCACGGGGAGGCTGCAACAGTTCTAAGTGTGAAAAATGGCTGTGACACTTTTTTCATTGCCGTTGTAACTTTGAATGGTTACTAAATGAACAGTTGTAAGTTGAGGACTACCAGTAGATATTTAAGGTACAGCATGACAGAATAGCATCAAAGTTATGGAGATTGCTAACACAAAAATATAGCCCTGAGTTCTAACTACAAGAATCCTTGCTATTAAAACTGTAAAGGGAGTGGTGTAGGGCTGCTTGCGGATGATCCAAAGAAGTGCGTGGATGCATGGCTCCCAGTCTGCTTTCCTCCTTGTGTGCCCCGTAACGCCCGCCTCTCCAGTCACCCTGCCCTGCCAAGAGGGCAGGGGGAACGCACGCTAGCTGCAAGGGCGACCAGGTGGCGGAGGGAGGCTGCAAATGCAGGAGTTGGGTGCAGTTATTTTTTCAGCACTGTTGTAACTTCAAACCGTTGCTGAACAAGGCAGTAAGTAGGTCCTGCTTGAGTAGGAGGTTGGACTAAAAGACCTCCAAGGTCCCTTCCAGTTCTGTTATTCTGGAAGAGACTATGATCTATGATCAAGTCTGAATTAGAAAAGCTTAAACATGTGTTCCAGTTGTTCATCTTTCCTGAACCCCTCGTTGTCATTCTTGCTTCGTTTTTTGTTCTCTTGAATGAAGGCACCTTTGCCAGGTGACATCAAAGCCCATGAGTTTCTTGCAATCGTGTCTGAGTTTTAAAAAGGGATCACCTTCATTCTCATAAATGCAGCGTACAATTCTCTCCCTTTGCCATTTCTGGAGCCTCCTTTGTGTCATGATTGTTCCACAATCGGAAAGAGGCTGGGAGAAAGGTTGTCCATTCTGAAGGCGTTCAATTTGGCCTTTTAGGCATGCAGGCCAGCAGCCCCCTCTTGTCTCAAGATCTGGCAAACAACTCCTTGCAGAAAAATGGACTGAAGAAGGCATCCGTTGCATCGCTGAAAAGGCAAAGTGAGTTCATTCCCTTCCAGACCACAAGGCCACAGAGCCCCCACTCCAACAAGCCCCCCCCAAGCTTAGGCAAGGCTATTTGGAAGGACCTTCACTTGGGCTGAGATTAGGGAGACTGTCACTTGTGAACTTAAAAATGAGAAGAACAGGAAGAAACAGCAGGTTTATTTAGCTTTAAAATGTCCCTGGCAAAGAACAGAACAGCCAGAGCTAAGTGTACTTTCAGGGCCTGTCTGCATGGTGTTCCTACTGAAACTTCTGCGGGTTGGTGGTACATGGAATGCGAGGGAGTCTACCTCCCACCAGCCTTTGGGGCCCCAGAACGGAACAGAAGAGACCAGCAGCTTGGTCAAACTCCCAGTCTTTTAGTTATCTGAAAATGCAACAATCCGATTCCTGGTAAAAGGTTTGACCCCCCCTAGAACAGGATCTGGCCAAGTCAGTCTGGCAGGTCCCAGTAAGGACAAATCTGATCCTGTATTGCCTCTTGGGGGTCAGAAGACTTTGGAGTGCCACCTAGGTGTGGTGGTGAAAGTGCTGGGTTAGAAACCAAGAGACCCAAGTTTGAGTCCTGCATTAGGCACAAAATTCATCTGGGTGGCTTTGCACCAGCGCATCTCTCTCAACCTGGCCCACCTCACAGGGCGGTGGTTGTGAGGAAAATAAGAGGCAGGAGCATCATGAACGTATTCTGCCTTCAGTTGACCCAAAATAAAGAGCTGGGATAAAAATCTAATCAGTCAATCCATAAAATGCAGCCTAGAAGTATGTAGCTGGGGGGGGGGGCCTTTCTGCCTTGCAAGCGCCTGTTTCTTTGCAACAGGATGCAGTCTGAGGGGCCGGAGTGGGGAGGGGGCCACAAGCACTCCGAGCGAGGCTGCAACTTGCCTCCCTTTTGCTTAGCTGGCGGTCAGGTGCTGGAGGAGTCGCAGGTGGCCTTGTCCTTCCTGGAGTGGCTGGCCAGCGCCACGGAGCGGATCCACCAAGCCATGCACTACCAGTTTGACGGTGAGTCCTTCCTGCCAGCCACACCGGCCTCCCCGTACCTCCTGGAAGGCTGCTTGGCCAAGGAGGACAGTCGGGAACAGAGGAAAACCAAGCCCTTCTCCTGGAGCAGCCAGAGGTTGCTCACAGCTGCTGGGCACCGTCTTGGGAGGGCCCCATTTGGATTGCTGCTCCCAAAGGCCACCTGGAAGTCATAACTGGTCCAGAAAGCAGCAGGGGGCAGTGATGGACAGGTGTCTCCAGGTTAGCTCACCTTGCATCCCTGTTAGGGTAGCTGCACTTCTGGGTGCAGTTTGAGATGCTGCTTCTTACCTTTATACCAGGTTCTTCGCAGGATGTCCTCTCCCTAAGGACACATTTGCCTATCCTGCAGCAGACAGGGTGGAGCCGCTCCTACCTCCTTCCCTTAAAAATGTTGCCATCTCACGGGTGCTCAGAAGGGTGTGTTTTCCGTGGCAGCCCCTGCCCTGGGGTAATGGCTAGGTGGGAAAACCTTGGGAGGCAGGCTGGAGAGAGGCTGCCCGGGAAATGGTCAGAGAAGAGAGGGCAGAGCCCAGGTCTGCGTAAGGAGCAGAGAAAGGAAGAGACCGCCCTTACTGTAAAAAACGGGGGCTCAGGCCTTCCGTCCCTCAAGACCATTTTCTCTCCTCTCCCGTCTGTAGGCTGTTTACGCTGTTTGCCAGTGGGATGCTTTTAAAATACGCAAGCTTTCACCACCTCCCCCCCCCCCTGCCTTCCTATGAGTCAGCCTGGACGCCTCCGCTCTCTGTTGTTGCTGTTTCAGTTTATGTTCTGTCTGAATCATGAGACTTTCCAGCCCCCGTTTCTGAGACGCCCTTAATCACCGCCTCCCCTTCTGGGTTTGTGTATCTCCCTCAGGCAAGCCGGAGCCCCTCGTCTTCCACGTCCCGCAGGCCTTCTTCGAAGCTCTCCAGCAGCGAATCTGCCTTGGGAGCGTCAAGATGCGGCTTCCCAACTCGACGACAGGTGCTGCTCTGCAGAGCGTGTTTCCCCTCGCTGCTCCCCCTTCCCTGGCCCTGTGCCCACACTCAGCCTCTCCTGGGCCCGAGGCCTCTGCCCAAGGCTGCCGCTCTGCTCGGCGGCTGGCGTCATTTGTGCTGGGAGGTGGAACGCTTGAACCCTCCACCTTTGCTTCCTTGCCCCTCGCTGAGTCCCACCGCTGGGCAAGGAGCCCCCTGCCCATGTGAAGCTGCAATGGCTGACGGTTCCCGGGGGTTGGCTCAGTCCACAGATTGGGGTTTGAGGTTGCTGGGACACGAAGCTGCCTTCCTCGCTTGACTGACACAGAGAGCGGGCACTGGGCTCACGGCCGATGGGCATCTCAATAGAGCTGCCTTTTCTGGGCAGCCCTGTCCCCCAAATGCACTTGGTACTTGGTGTGACACAGGTGATAGTGCTCGCTTGGACCCGTGTTCCCCAATGGCTGCTTTTAAGACCAGGTTCGGTGTGTTGGCTGGCCGCTGTTTGGGGCTGATGGAAGAGGCTGCTCTGCCTGATTCCGCAGGTGGACGCTTGACTGGCAGAGAGAAAGTCCCTGGTATGTGTGTGCGTGTGTGGGGATTTCTATTCCTATTCTATTCTGTTCTGTTCTGTTCTGTTCTATTCTATTCTATTCTAATTCTATTCTGTTCTATTCTATTCTATTCTATTCTATTCTATTCTATTCTATTCTATTCTATTCTATTCTTATGGATGCTGGAATCTCCTCCCCAGGCAACGTGGTCCAGAGGCAGCCCTTTGCAAATTTGGGAGGGGCTATCTGTTGCAACACCTTCCCTCCGCACATACATCTCTTTTTGGCAAAAGAGCAGTCCACTTGGCTTACACTGGCCTTTGGTAGGTTCTGTCTGATTTGGATGCAAGTTTATAATGACTAGACAGATGTTTTTATTTGGGATGTTTTGTATGCCTTTGCCCTGCTTTTATTTATGATGTATTATTGTTAATACTAAGTTTTTACTCTTACTAGCATAAAATGCCCAGAAATAAATAAATAAATATACATATACATATACATATACATATACATATATATATATATATATATATATATGATTATACATCACCAATTTTTTTTTTTTGTTTCTAGCTTTTGTCCGCAAAGATGCCTTACCGCTGGGTACTTTTTCTAAATACACGTGGCACATCACCAACATCTTGCAGGTGAAGCAGATCTTTGACACTGTGGAGGTAAGGCCCGTTTCTCCTTCTGGTTCACGAGAGCTCTCCGTTTCTGAGCAGAGGAGGAGGACTCCGGCATGTTTGTTGAGATGTGAACAATGGAAGTGAGTCTCTCCAACCACCTCTAGTTGCTTTAGACCAGGAAATTTAAAAAGCCTCACTTTCTTTGCTGGAACTTGCTTTTAACTTTCTAGATTTCCTCTGTTCATCTTCCAGAACCAACGTTTCCTTCTGCAACAAGGTGGTGGTGGGTTTTCTGGGGATCTCTGCTCTTCTGCTCATCCCCTCTCATTCCAGATGCCTCTGGAAATAACCCGCAGCTTCATCCAGAACCGGGATGGGACCTACGAGCCCTTCAGGTGCCCCAAAGTGGAGGTGGAGAGCATCGCTGAGACCTACGGACGCCTGGAGAAGCAGCCTGTTCTTCGCCCCCTGGAACTGAAAACTTTCTTGAAAGTTGGTGAGTTTGCACAGGGGGGCCGGAAGAGCTGGCTTGTGGTGACCTGGGAAGTGGCTTCTCTCATTCTCCTCCGCTCAGGTAACACATCCCCGGATCAAAAGGAACCGACGCCTTTCATCATTGAGTGGATCCCGGACATCCTCCCCCAGTCCAAAATTGGCGAACTGAGGATCAAATTTGAGTACGGCCACTACAGGAACGGCCACCCTGCCGACTACCAGGAGCAGCGTCCTTCCCTGGATCAGGCCCTGGAGATCATGCCACTCACCACCCTCACCTTCCCCTGAGCGCCCCTCGCCTCTGTCTTTGTGTGCACAGCTGCACAGGCCCATTCCGTAGCCGGCCACTCTCTCCTGCTCCCTGCCACAGTTTCACGTGACTTCGCTGCCCATCCTCTGCTCTCAAGGAGTTTCTCACTCGGGCCTCTCTTGCAAACAGCCGCCTCCCTCTCCCCCAGCCAAGTCAGATGGTGGAATTAGTCCTCCCTGAATCCCCTGAATGGCCGGCTGGCGCTCCAGCACACCAAGAGTGCCCCAGCCAACTCCTGTCCCTCCTTTCTCCCTGAGACGGCTGTCGTCCCAGCAGGACTGGCTGGCTGGATGCTACGGTCACTTTACTGGCCTATTTTACAGTATATATTTAAAATAAATTAATTTAAGGCCATGGCAATGTTGTGAGATTAGTCATGCATATAAAAGAAAGTGAATCCATTCCCTTACAATTCAGTCCCTGAATGGGCTCTTTAAAAAGACAAGGGGGGGGGAGGAAGAGCTGGGTGTTCATAATCCTGTGCTCTGTTGGCAGCTGCTAGAAGTTCAACAGGTGATGCTACAAGTATTCTGTGGGTCAGAATTCAGCACCTAGTATAATTGAAGAATAGAATACTAAGAATAGGGAATAGAATAGAATAGAATAGAATAGAATAGAATAGGGAATAGAATAGAATAGAATAGAATCTGGAAGGGACCTTGGAGGTCTTCTAGTCCAGCCCCCTGCTCAAGCAGGAGAATTTAGACCATCTCAGATAGGTGAATGTCCACCCTCCCCTTAAAAATCTCCAGTGACGGAGTACCCACAATTTCTGGAGGCAAGCTGTTCACTATCAGGAAGTTTCCCCTTAGTTCCAGGTTGCTTCTCTCTTTGATCAGCTTCCAACCATTGTCTCTTGTCCTGCCCTCTGGTGCCCCAGAGGATAAGTGACACCCTCTTCTTGTGGCAGCCCCTCACATACTGGAACAGTATTTAGATTTCATTTGATTTTTAAACGCCTAGAACAGCTCGGATCTCACAGAGCAATCTTTGCCTGGGCTCCATCCAGTTCAGCGCCTGGTTTTGTCCTGCTGTCGTGAGAATGTTGGCCAGCAGGGAGCTTCCACTTCCCTGCGCCCCCCATACCCTCACTCTGGCATCATTAAAATCTGCTGCTCTTCCTGGTTGTGGGAAAAAACTGCTGGGCCAGGAGGTCCAATCCCTTAAGCAAGAAGCCGGTTATGTTCTTATGAAAACCCAACCTATATAAAATTTCAGTGGAAAACGAATTACAAAACAGAAAACAAATGACATGGAAAATGATTGACAGAATTTCCATTCTGATGTGTTTATGATTTTTCATTCATGTTTCTCCTCTACATAATTTTAAAGAGCACTTACTGTTCTTTTCCATCTGAAATATACCAACACTCACCATGCCAGAAAGCATTTGCCTTCATGCCTTGTGTTGGGGATGACAAGTGAACAAGAAGAGGCTTAGCATGAATATAAAAACTCATAAAAACCTGCATGTATATGTTTGCCATTGTTTGCCCCCAGTACATGTCGTTACTTGTAGGTGGAGTAATTCCTAGTTAATGTTATGACCCAGGTCGTCAAGCAAGGCGAGTCTTTAGACAGCCTTTGTTGCTCCAAGAAGTAAATGTTCCAAGGCCCTCCGACTCCACCCTCAAGCTGCCCTGAAGGCAGCCATCCTCAGTCCCCCAAACAACAGCCCCTATAGTGCAAAGGAAGCCCCCAGAGTAGGAGCCTCTCACAGGGGCAAGGTCCAAGGTCCCAAGTCCAGTCCATCCGGTTAAGCGAGTCCACAAAGCAAAGGCAAGGCACAACACAAAAGGCAGTTCTCAAGGCAAGTCGAAAGGCACGTGTCAAAGCTGGGGTGTGTAAGCCAAAACAAACAACTGTTCCTGGCAAAGACTAACTCCCCACAGCTCCTCCTTAATTCCCTCCCCTCCAGGAGTGAGGAGGGGTGGGGCGATCTCCCTTGCAGCTTCTCTGGGTTTGCCTGCACTCCGCTCTCCTTGCCCTTGGATTGAGGGGGGGGGGGAGGCAGCTGTTCCTCATCAGAGGGGATCTGCTACCTATCGGCATCACTGCTTGTCAGCAGCTGATCCTCCCCTCTGTCTGTGCAGGCAGGCAGCTCTCCATCTGCTCCACCACCTCCCACGAGGCCTGAGGGGCCTGGGACAAGATCGTCTTCAGCCCCGGGCCTCTCCAAGCATCCCAAGGGAGACTTGCCGTCCCCAGTTCTAACTCCTGCTCTGAGCGGGGCTCTGAAGGGCTGCAGTAGGTCAGAGAAGCCCAGCACCCTTTTTCTGTTGGGATGTCCAGAGCTCAGGACAAGGAGCCCTGTGAACCTTCCCGTCCCAAACTCTGCCATCTCTCCGGACAGGCTGCAGTGAGAAGTGTCTAGCCTGCAATCCAGATCTTTTATTGGTGGTCCCTGCAGCTGCTTTCACTGACTTTCTAATTTGCTGGAAAGATGCACATTTGCTTTGGGCAAATGAAGTTGCTTCAGTTTGCTTAGAATAAACGGCGAAGCTGGTTCTGCATTTCGTGGCTTTCCAATAGAGAGGGAACATCCCAGCTCCTTGCAGTCGCTGATCTCTGCTGAAAAGACAGCCCAGGGGATCAAAAGCAACACTGTACTTCTTTTAACCAAGATCCATTTGTGCCTTTTTTGCTGTTTATGCTAACAAAGAGATGGGAAACAATTATATACTGTATGTCACACCTTTTACAAGCTAAAAGTAAAAAATCTTGGTGCTAAATATGACATTGCCCTTGTGTATTTCAGTAAAGCCTGTTAGGGCTGTTTTGGAGGCTGTCTAAAAATCAATATTTTGCAGCAACAATAAATGTCTTTGGAGACCTCTCACTCCAAAATCAGAATAAATTGCACTGCAGCAACACTTAGAACCATAACCCTAATAGTAAAAATCACTTCTAAGTTCCAGAAGTCTTCCAAGGAACAACATCCATAACTAACCAAACAAGCCTAACATGACAAAAACTAGCAGCAACATTTATTTTCCTTATACAATTTGATTTAAAAAATAACTAATTAACCAAATAATCCTATTATCAATAATCTACCAATCCTAATTGGGAAAGTAGGCAGTCAGTCTCCAAAAACCAAAAAAGACATTCCAATACTTCTAAGCAGATTTATTTATTGTTTGTCACCTATAGACAGAATTCTAGGCAAACTAAAGCTAAGACAAAGGAGTGCACACTAGTTGGTCCTAAAGGACTATAAGGAAACCTGTACTTCTTCCAGAGGAATCCTTTGGGCACTGCTATAATTACAGTATATTTTCTTAGACAAAAATAAAAGACAACCTGGATAAAGAGGCAAAACTGAAAGAGATTCATAAGGATACACATTTTAATTGTTCATTTTAATTTCCTTTGTTCTATAAAGGAAAATTCAAGAGCAAAACTAGGGAAAACTTTACAAAACAAATATTCTAAAAAGTGCTATGAAATGGTAGGAAACAAATATTAAAAACGATTTCTGTAATCACACTGTGATTAAGTGGTACCATTTTTACAGTAAAAGGGAAATGGGAGTTTTTGAAAAAGAAATACAATGAAAGCAGAGTGTTCTGAAATAAAATAGTAAAGGGTGCTTGGTCATTGTAGCCGTAACTGAAAAAAAAAAAAATCAATGGCAGTTCGGTTATATTTTTATGGATCTTGTCAAATCATATTTATATTTCACAATGTTAATGGAAGAAATTTTTTAAAGATTGTTTAAATTTAATTACAATGGAAATGTTAAATTAAATCAAGGGGAAGGATTTCTGCCTGTTTATTATTTCCCCCGTCCCTCAAACAGCTTTTCCTCGGAGCCCCAATACTCATGCCAGGCGACCGGGAGCCTCCCGACCAAGAAAACCAAATTCTCACAGACCAGGTTTATCGGAAGGGAAAAAGTGGCCTGGCTTACAGAAATCTTGGCAACCGGCCCATCTACTTGAGCGCCAGAGCCTCTAGCAAAGATGGGCCTTCTGGGGAGCTTCTGGGGACCCAGCCAGACGAAGGAAGCCTCCAACTTCACACTTGCAACGTTGTGTGAACAGCTGCCTTCCTCAGGCCTGAGAAGCCCCTGCGATCCAGGGCTGCTCTGATCACCGATCTCCTCAGGACCCCATCAGGCAGTAGCCAAATCCCTTCCCCCTTTCAAGAGCCCCTTCAGGTCTTTTCCTTCTTTGTCCTTTCCCAAAGTGTAGTAGAAATCAAAGACTTGAATCAGCTCTTTCAGGAAAGGGAAGTTTATTGCATGTAGGTTCAGAGAGCCATCCTGGCTTAAACAGTCTGAACCCAGATTGTACCTTGATGACCATTTTTATAACCCTTTCTGGCGGGGGTTATTTTCAGGTCATTACATTCTATAGGTCCTTATTCTAACATAGAAAAACTACTAGACAGATCTATAATCGATAGCTCCTCGTTTACATTGGAATGTTTTTAGCAATCAGCAATATATCAAGTGTTAAGCAATTTAGATATACCATGTGACAGGCAGTTAGTAATATATCATGTGCAGAGCTGGGAACAGGATGTCTGGCCATCCTAAATTTAAGAGTTGTCTTGTAAGCAAAACAAACCTCCCTTACACACACAATCTTTGGTGGGCCATCTGCTTTTTACCCATATTCTTTGTCAGACCATTAATATTTTTCCAGGTACCACTTTATTCCCCCCCTGATGAGACTTATCTCATCTATGCAGATAAGTTTCATTCCATAACACTTGGGTCTGATGTATGTATGTTGTTATACTCTTGTCTCTGGAATTCCCACATGTGAAGAACCACCCTTTAGGTAACCATATGTTTGCATACCCAAAAGACACTGTTTGGAAAGATGTGCAATTTAGCCTTTCTTGGCTCACTTTCAGGCAATGAGGTGAAGGTGTATTCTGCTCACACCCCGTGATATGTGCACATTGTAAGTCTTCTGGAATGGCTACATTAGGAGTATGTAAAGCTAAAGCATCAGTGGGTAGAAACTTGGAAATGTGACCCCAGCTGTACATTGTTTCATAGCCTATATGTTCTTTAAACTTGTGATGACTGAACTCCTTGGCTGCTGTGACAGGAACACATACGGGTATTAAACATGTAGACAGCAAATTTTCCATGTCATATGCTTCAGAAAGGCAAAAATCAGTTGTGTTGGCTAGTTTAGCCAATTGACCCACAAATTATATTGCATCCTTGACTCCAATGGATGGGGCATATCCTTATTCTGCTGGGACCTTTTACTTCGCTTTCTCTCTGGGCGCTTCCTCGGGGGTCTTTGGATAGTTACTCCAAATTCCACCGGGATAACATGTACGATGCAAGTCCCCTTCCATCCCGTCTTCAACTGCGAGACTAGGGTGACCCGCTC